TCATCACTTAAATCTAAATTAAAAACTAGAAAATCAATAGGTCCTAACAGCACCCCCACAAACATTCTTATTGATTTTAATTCTTAATTTTCTCATATTCTCTCTAAGCTATGTTGGCATGTTGTACCAGGGATATTCTTTGATATAGTGTCTTGCAGTTACTAAGGCGTAACCTCGAAACTTTTCAACGTCAGTTTCATGTCCACTCTAAATTGTTTGCAAAATTATATGAAAACGGTGGATTATTTAATTAATACCAATTATCAAGAATACTGTTTGAGTGTTTTCAAAGAAACGTCGAGTGTTGTCTTCGCCGTTCGTGCTGCTCCTTGCTTTGGCATGTTGGCTAAAACTCCTAGTTGCTGTTTTAAAACTTTTTGGAGGCTAGCTTTCATTGTTGCTTTTTCCTGCTTATCTTCTTCTTCACGCGCTTCCCATTTTTTTGTATTTTTTTTGTATTCCAAATGAATACAGCATTCAAAACATCGAATCCAGGCGTGTAGGTTTGACAGTCTGTACTGTAGATAACCAGTGGTTACCGGACTTTGCAAAACTTTATCAAAGTTATTAAACTGCTTGGAAGTTTTTCATTTTTTCATTTTTTCTCATTTAAAAAAGTTTCCTCGGTTTTGTTTGTAAATTGCAATTTTCAGAGGTCTGCAAAAGAGGGTTGAAGGTGGCTTCGGATTACTTTATAAGAGATTTTCTTCTTTCGTTTCTTGATTTACACCTACAAGTTGCAATGGAACAAGCAAGGTAAAAATAATCTTGCATCTGATATATATGGATTTTTGAAAGTCATTTTATAAATGCTTTTCCGGATGTTACGTCAAAGCCCCACTTACAAATTAAAGTCATATTTAATACTTCTGAATCACTCGTATACGTAATATTGCTTGGTTCAGCATAAAAATACGTTAAACGGTGTGGTCTAATAAAGCTTGCAACTATACCTCAGCTTTTGATTCGGAAAAATTTAAGGTATCATCTGGAGGGTAGCTAGATTTTTTGCTGTAAATACGTTACGTTAAATACGTATGGTCGATAAAGTGCATTTAAGGCTTTTTTTGTGCCTGATTTTTCAAATGTTGGTACAAATTATTCGTCAAATTTAGGTCTAATAGTAATTTTCAGCAGGACTGAACTTCGTACGCATTTCTTTAGTCCTCTTTCTTTTGGACCTATCTGATAAAGTTTCCAAATTTCTGGTGGGCCGACCCGTTGATTTATTTACAGTTGCAGGTTTTGTATTAATGTAAAAGTTTACTGAAGTTTTTAATCAGTTTTCATTGAAAAAGTAATCTTGTCGTTGAGTTGCTTATATTTTTTTCTAAACATTGTCGTTTAAACAGAAATAGTAGGTCTCATGTCATCGGGAATTGAAATTACATATTCAATCTTTTCTGTCTATCAGTGACGGATCAAGGGGGGGGCTAGCCCTAGGCCCCGCAAATTTAGAAGCCCTCTAAATTTTAGAGGACCTTTTTTTGTTTTTTAAAGTCATTTTTAGGCTCTGGCTCATAAAAAGGCCTCTAAAAACAAAAATAGCTCCGGGCCCCAAGAAGTCTTAATCCGCCACTGCTGTCGATGACTTTTTAAATGTTCTATGATCACTTGAAAATTGTTTGCAAAATATTATTATGACAAAAGAATGATAGAATGAATAAGAAAGGAATTATAACAAAAGTTTTGTTGTAATGAAGATCTCTTTGCTCGAAAGTCCATATACGGCAACTAAGGGATCTGATAATCCTGAATTTAAAAAATCTATGTTATAGTTATTTAAAATTTATTTACTCAATATTTAGTTTAGTTTTTACCTTTTTATATTAATAAAATAAATCATTGTATTTATACCGTTATTTAAATTTAATTTCAATTATTGATTAATGCATTATTTATGTATGTATTTATTTATTTATTAACTCATTTATTAGATACTTAAAAGCGTTAAAAAACATCTGCACAGAGTATGTACAATTTTTGTGTTTTGATTTTTTGTTATTTTTTCTTAATTTAATTATAAAACAAGAAAAAAAAGGAAATGCAATTTCTTGAAGACTGAAAAATGGTAATCACTGTGTGGTGGTGTATGTAGCGATCACTGTCTTTTTTAAGTTTTTTATCTCACTGTGTAGGAGAAAGCGTTGCTCCCGTCTTTTTCTACTTTTAATATTCTTCATAATTCTTCTAGACATCAATTATAAATAAAATTGTACAAATGTAGCTCATAATTAAGAAATTTTCACCTTATTTTTCAAGATGTCTCGTTAACGGCATTTTGCAACTGTCATATAAAACATGGCTTAAAAGTGGAATTGGTACTAGTAGGTGAATTTGAATGTTAAATTACAAAAATAGTACTATATACGTACAAACACAATGTAAATGAAACTGGAATATTGTGGAATTCGTAACTTATCACTATTTTTAAAGCAAATTTTACAATTTTATAAAACATTTTTCTGTATTAATTTAATTAAAAAAAACATTTATAATTAATGACTTAATAATAACATTTTTGTTTTTTAATTAATAAATACCTCGTAAAACAATTTCAATTTTGAAAATGTTTGTTTCACGTACACACAACAAAAATATTCATTTTTGAAGAAAAGAAAATTTTTTAGCTTTAACGGTTGCAAGCGTGACAGACAAAAGACTGCTGCATTCGATTTGCAATTTAGCACACAAAATGAACAGCTGATCTTCTGCACAGCCGGCATTAAGTAGTCCCAACATCACTGAAGCCTCATAGTCCAAAAATGACGTTTCAAAACTTTTCTTTTTTCAACATTGATGGCAGGTTCGTTACCAGATGTACAAGCCCAAATTTTGAACATTCAACCAAAAGCAATATATACCTATCGACGTGTCAGACAGAATTTGGTTATTAGTCATTCTTGCAAAATATCTGAAATAAGAAATCTGTTAGATATAATGGAGTTTACAAAATGGATAACAAAATAGTACAAAGCGAATAGAACTTCTTAGCTTGGTGTACCAAAAACTAATTTCACACATTGAATAGTCCAAAGATTCTTACTGAGATTTGTGTCACAAAATAGGTTAAAGATTTAGATGGTTAAGAAAAATTTCGTTTAGCTCATCTGTTTCTGATAATATTTTGCAAAGCTATTTCAAAGAATCGATGTGGAAATAATTACAAATATGCCAAATTGCTGAATAAGTGGATAGCTGAAGACAAACGTCAAGCACTATCTTTTCTGAAAGCATTCGGAAGTTTTGATTTTATTATATCACTAGTTATACTACAGCAAACTATGTGGTTTTTTTGTGAGCCTATAGTTAAATTGCAGGAAAAATCTAATAACATTATATATGCGTTTAAGTGTTGAAAATTGTCATTTTAGGAATAGAAATCATGAGAATAGACTTAAATATGTTTGCCAAACATTTGTATAAGCATGAATTAAATCATACCAAAAAATCAAATGTAAAGCAAATAATACCACGAGTACACTCAGGGCAACAATCTCAACGAGGGAACTTTCCCTTTAAAACGTTTGAAGAATATTTCAAAAGGTCTCTCATAATTCCATTTTTAAATCATATTTGAGTTAAACTGAAAAATAAAATTTAATCATCAGATTTAAAATTTACAATTGAGTTATTGTTAAGTTTTGTACCTTCTATAATCTGTGCGAAAACCTCAGGGGGGGGGGGGGGTCAGCCATTACAATTTTTGTCGACTAAAAAAAAATAAATAAAAGTCCTCGTTTTTAGAAATTTGCCGGAAAGAAAGTTAAAGAAAGGGTCAAATTTGCCGACTAAATGCACCCCTCCTCACACCCTCATCACGCCGTTCTTATGTACTTGTCTATTAGTGAATGAAAGTACACGCATTCTTGCTTTTATACGTTTATCAACACATAAAATTCATTTGATAATAACATTATTTTTATTGAGTGTTCAAATAAATTTAATAAATATATAAACATAATATATATAATTCTTTTAAAATTAAAGGATAAACCATAAAAAAATGATATAATATATATTATATTTTTATGATAAATAAGCTATATTATGTACTATGTAATATAGCTTATATATTATAAAAGTAAACATTTGTTCACATTCGTATTGATTGAATATCACTTTTTATTATTTTTAAAATTATTTAAAATTTCTCTAATAGCAGTTTTAATTGTATAGTGGGATCAGATTTTGGGGTTAGATTTTGGCGTTAACAACCTTAACTTACTTCTTACGTTAATCAAGCAGAGATATAAAAATTGGAGTTTATTTTATCGCTGGCGTTAAAAACTGCTGTTTTACTATTAACAAGTGGATAGCTTATTGTAGAGTTTAACGGAGCTTATTGCAGGATTTGACGGACAGAAATGACTACTTAAATGCACCAGTGATGGATTAAGACTTCTTGGGGCCCAGGGCTATTTTTGTTTTTGGAGGCCTTTTTATGGGCCAGAGCCTAAAAATAACTTAAAAAAGGTCTTCTAAAATTTTGGGGGCCCGGGGCTACAGCCCCCCCGCTCCCCTTAATCCGGCACTGAAATGCACAGTTTCAGACAAACATATTACACTAAAAACAGTTAAAACTTCTTCAAAATCAGTGTAAAGAATTTCAAAATTTTTTAAAATCCTCTCCTATTAATATGGATTGCATTAAATTTATCATACTCTAGAAATTATATTTTATGTATATAAAAATAACGGATTGGACTCTTTAAGTATAAAACCATTGAAAATACTTAATCATTTTTAATACTTAAAAACTAAATAATTTAAAGAAATAATAAAAAGAAATAACTTAAAATGACTAAAAAATATAAAAATTTTTCAAAAATCGCGCGTTATTAGTTGATTATAGACAACCTTAACATATTTACCTTCGCCTTCAGATTAGTTCTTTCGCTGTAGCCTTTGTTTACGTAAAACTGATCGTTCCACAATTTTAAATGAACATACCCGGCCGGAACAGCTATATTTACTTTCGAAATTAAAACTCACTATAGACGCCCGCATAGAAACTTCATTTTATTAAACCTGTAAACTTTTTTTAAATTAACAATCAATAAATTATATCTATATGATTAGTCTTAGGATTCTAATCCCCTGGTTATAACAATGATTAGCTCGAAAGAATTTCCAATAAATCTTTCATTGCATCACATAAATCTTGTTCAGGGTTCCATTCAAAATTCAATTCTTTTGTAAGATTTACTATATAATCAACGTCAGAGCTAAGCGAGGTTAAATCAGATAAAGCATTCTCGTCGTAAAGCTCTGCAATGTTTGCTGGTATTTCAAAAGAAATATCTGAGTTATTAGTACTCTTTAGATATTTTGGCATAAGAGAATTAGGAATAGCATCTGATTTTTTATCTTCATTAATCGCAACATTCTGTTTGTTTAACGAAATTACAGCAGCAGATTGAAACTCTTTTTGATCAATAAATTTTTCAGGAGAAACGTTTTTCGGGCGAGGCTTTTCAACGTGAACTTCTTTTGAAAATTGATTAAGTGCTTTATGGTTACGTATATTATTTACAGACTGTGTAACATTAAATGGTTTCTCGACCAGTTGACTAGCTGGCTCACTAAAACTTACAGACTGTGTAACATTAAAAATATTGAATGGTTTCTCAACTAGCTGACTAGCTGACTCACCAAAATTTAATTGTTTGTTTGTTAGCAACTTTGATGAACCTTGATTTTGTTCAATAAAATGAAGATCTTTATCTTCAACTTCATATGAGTGTGACACAATTTTATCCGTAGATTGCAAACTTATTTCGGGGTTCGAATTTTTTAAATGTGACTTTACTAAATCACTGTCTAAAAATGTTGTTGATTTGTTAAAGATATCTAGTGATAAACTATAATTTAAATTTGAGGATAAACCTTCTATGGCGACTTCAGCAGTTTTTTCAATTGCATTTACAGACATTTCTTTAGAATAAATAACGCTATTATTAGCTTGTTTTTTGAAATCATTATGTTTTTCGAACAAATTCGAAACATTTGCATCTGGTAGTTGCGGTGATGGATTAGTCGCTAGCGTATGTATGTCCTTTGATGAACTGAAATTAAATTGGTTTATTTATTAAAGTCTGGCATCTTTTTTATTTTCAACAGTAGTTAATAAATTAGAATCAAAAAAATATATTTATTTAAAACATAAATAAATAAACTAAAATTAAAAAGTAAGTAGTATATACTACTTACTTTTTAATTTTACACATTACACATATGTGTAATCGGCAAAAAATTATAAATCTAAACTTAATGATAGATTATAAATTATTAATGGTAAATTATAGATCAAATGTTCAGAAAAAAAAAAAACATGGCGTTAAAAGACGATTTAGAGACGTTATTTATGATATTATGTATATAGTGAGCATAAAAAAAAAATGTTTTAGCACAATAATTAGCATAATAAAAATTTTTTAACATTTTTTTTTTGTCTACTAAATTCCTTTTTTTGTCTTAAGTTAAACAAAACTAAAATTTAATGAACCATTTAAGTTTTTAGTTATAATAGCTATAAATCTTCAGTTGATGTAACACTTTTTGATATAAAAGACTGTTATACAAAGACCCAACATTACTCAAAGAAACATGTTTCATTTATATATATATATATATATATATATATATATATATATATATATATATATATATATATATATATATATATATATATATATATATATATATATATATATATATATATAAAACATGTCTTTGTATAACAGTCTTTTATATCAAAAAGTGTTACATCAACTGAAGATTTATAGCGATAATTACTAAAAACTTAAATGGCTGAAGCAAAGTTATGCCCGTTGAAGCAAAGTTAAGCGCGGTACTACCAGGGACATGGTGTGGATCGAATTCTGAACTTCTCGCTTATGAAACGAGCGCTCTACCACTACATTATATATATATATATATATATATATATATATATATATATATATATATATATCAAATATTAATTGTAATTAAATATAATAAATGTAAATAATGTTTATTTTGTAAATATATAACACTAAATCCAATTAAGATAAAATTGAGAAAGATAAAAATACCTAAGAAGTTTTTATACAGGATTGTGTTAACCTTTAAGTATACCAAAATAAAAAGAATTTCAGTGAATTTTATAAATGCTTAAATAATAAATTTTTAAATACTTCCCAAAAAAAAAAAAAAAAAAAAAAAAAAGGACCCCTGCATTTATTTCCAAAAAAAAAAAAGACTAAAAAAACCAAATAAACAAGAACCAAAAAAAGATGTGACATCTTTAGGAAGAATAGAAAAAGGCTTACTCTTTTTACTAATAAAAAAAACACTTTTGTGTAATCATAAATTTAATTACTTTTACTAAAGAAGTCTACTAAAAGTCTACTAAAATCTTACTAAAGCAAGACATGCCAAGACTAAATTACAACAAATAAGAATAAATTTCAAAGCAAAGACCAAACAAGCAATACATACCAAGAAAAAACTATGATCACGAGACATTGTGCATATGCATATTTTTCTGAGATAAAGAAAAGGTTTTTATACTTTTAAATTTTTTTTTTTTAAATCTATAAATTTGAAAACTTTTATAGATAATGCTACCATAACATTAAAATTTTTTCGAATAATACTTTGTCTCTCAAATACAATTTACATCTGAAGTACTAAAAAAAATCTAAAGTAAAATAATTAAGTAAAAAGTTTTCTTTTACACTACTTTTAAACTAAACAGCCATTATATATAAAATCTTCCTTTAAAAAAACATTTTCTTTATTATTGTTAAAAAAAAAAAAAAAATTTATTAAACAAATTAATAACAAAAAAATTAAAACTCTTTAAAATTAATAACATTTTTAAGAAACTATTACTTTCAAGATGGTTTTTGTAACAGATACATTATTTGAAACAAGGACATTTCTAAAAATGCAAAGAAAATTGAGAAACGTTTTTTTGTTAAATTATGTATAATTATTATTTTTTTAAATTTTTATTTTAGATGCATCAAAAAGTCCCTACGGTCTTATCACAGAGCACCACAGAAAAGTATTTGAAAGGAAGTTGATGCCTCCTTCCTAAAAAGATGTTATAAAACTTACCCAGAGATGGCATTGAATCACAGTTCTTTAGCTTCTTAGAAAAGCGCACTAACCACTGTGCTACGGCTGCTCAATTATTTGCGAAATTATAATTAACAATAAATATAATCTTTCCTTTTTTAAAAGAACTGAGAACTTTTGTTTGAAATGTAATAAACTTTTTTGTTAGCAAAATCAACTTTAAAAATTTTTTACCTCGACATTTGACTAGTACAACAATTATCACTTAAATCAGAGATTAAAGGTAATAGATTAGAAGCATGTGTTTCAGAATCTTGTGACTGGGCCATTGTAATACTATTTTTTAGTTCCATACCATTTTGTTTACAATCATCTTCGAATACATTTTCACCTAATTTCTCATTTTCTTTTAAATACAAATTAAATTCGGGTAGCAAATCATCAGTAACTGGCTCTAACTCTGACACTAAAGGTGAAGTTATTTGTAACAAAGGTGAGATTTTTTGTAACAAAGGTGATGTTATTGGTATCAAAGGTGATGTTATTTGTGGCAAAGGTGACTTTATTTGTAATGGTCTTTTCTGAAAATAAAAGTTAAAAATTATTAGTTGATAGTAATGATCCAACTCTCATAGATTTACAAGAAAAAAAGAAAAAAAAATGTGAACAATAAACCTGCTTGGTAGAAAAAAAGAAAAAAATGTGTACAATGAACTTGTAAGTTTATACAGATTAAACAAAAATATTTGAAGTATAGAAGGAAAGAAAAGAAGGAAAAATATTTTAAGCAAAGACATTTAATTATTTCAATTTTTTTATTTCAAAATATAATCTTTTTTTTTGCTGTTAACAATTTCTAGCTATTAAATGCTTTTATGCTTAATTAAACCATTACCAAACATAGATCATACAATTATAAATATTATATCTGCTTGCATGATATTTATGCAATTGCATAAACTGAATATTTATTCAGTTTAAGCAGAGGGATAGACAGTCAGTAAAATGGTAAAACAGGCACCACAACAAATCTTAATTACAATAAATGTCTGAAATTAAAAAACCATGCAATCTATACTATGTAAAAAAACAATCTATACCAAGTAAAAAAAAAAAAAAATCATGCAAAACTCATGTAATGTGTATAATCATGTGTGTATGGCCTCCAGCTTCATCATAAATCAAGTTAAAAATAAACATGCATACAGAGACTAACATCTTCTCTCAAAAACAGTTTACAAACAACAAAATAAAACTAGAAACTGTGAATAAATTAAACTTTAAGGTAACATAATTAGAAAGACTGCTAAATCTGTGAGTTTATTTAACTGTGAGTCAATTTAAACCAAATCACTTATGAAACTGTTATTCAATATAAGTGAAAATACTACTTCAACACATTTCTAGTTCACTAGTTTAACATACATGCGCAAGTCCAGAAAACAATTGAATAATGAGTATTGTATATTCCTCTAATCAAAAAAACTATCATGGTATATTCCTCTGATCAAAAAAAGTCAGATATCTGAGTTAATCTAATTACAAAAGTTTGCACACATCAATGAAAAAGATCACATTCAATCCATGGATATGTAAGTGAACATGGTCACATGTCCATTCATGAAACTTGCTTATATATGTTTTATTCTTAGAATTTTTCTTTTTTTTTTAATATACACTATTGATTAACATTTTTAAATTTTATTCTAGTTAAAATCAAACTTAGATAAAAAAAAGATAAAATAAAAAAAAATCAATTTTTCAAATTTTTTTCAAAAACTGGCCTTACTGTTTTGTGTTTCAGTGGTTTGCGCTCATCAGGCAAAATCTTCCCGTCAATGACTACTGTTGCTAAACCTGAGCTAAAATTGTTTTTAACAAATTCATTATCAGTTAGACCTTTTATCATTTTTATTTTTATTTGTTAATAATCTCTATATATTAACTATCAATAATTAAATATTTTTAAATAGGACTTAATTAGAAAAATTTAATTATTAGATGCACATAAAAAAAAAAAAAAAAAAAACTAAAAATTAACTTAGCAACAAAATAAAAATAAATACATACTTTTTGGCTAAATTAATTTACCTGTTGCTGGTACTGTCTATCTTTTCCTTGTAAAAACGTAAGTATAAGCAAACATAGTGCACTGATATTGAAAAAAAAAAAAAAAAAAAAAAATACACAAATAAATTTACTTTTTTTCTACCAGGTACCCATTTATAAACTTTGTCATTTAATTCACAAGGATTCTGGTCTAAAGATAAATGCAACTCCTTGAAGTGATAACACAAATTCTTAGCTATATTGTCATCGGCACTATCACCAGAGAGCTTGTTGTGATCTTCACTTATAATCAAAAACATAAGGTTAAACATATAATAAATCAAAAACTTTATGAATAAAAAATCATTAGTGTAGACCGAAGACAAATTTACTATTTTTGCTGTTAAAATACTATTTTCTTTAGGTAACTAGTTTTTATTGTGTTTCCATATCTGAATTATTTAAAATATTTTTTTTAAACTACATAAAAATTCAAAAAAACAAAAAGGTATGATTGCCATAAATAAAAATTTATTTTATATGTTTATGATGGAGACCATAGAAAAATGATAAGATATCTATGTTACATGATCTAATTAGTCTGCATGTTGATAAATTCAATCTTGATGCACACCACACACTGCACACCTCAGCGACTCCACAAACTGCACACCTCAGCGACACCACATATAGCAATGAGTTGATTTTTGGCTATTGCTTTTATTAGAACTCAGTATAGTTTTTAAATTGGTTACATGGGATCGTATACTTGGCTTCATGGGATCATAAACTACTTTTTTGGTATGTTTTGTTCTTTCTTTTTTCCTGTATTTTTGAGGCCTTGTTTAAAATCGACGGTAGTAAAATTTTTCCTGTGGAGAATTCCTCCTCAGTCTATCCTAAAGTTTTCATATAAATTTTGATTTAAAAAAAAGTTACAATCAAACCATTCTGCATTGAATTTTTATTCCTTAGTTTATCTTATCTTTTAATACTATTTATGTTTTTTTTGAGATCCAGCTAGTGATAAAACTTGAATCAAAAAAGTACTTTTAATATTTTAAGACTTATACCTTTAGACCTTTACTTGTTATTGCTTAATGTTGTGAAAATTTTTTAAATTATATACTATCAAAGAACCTACATGCACAGAAAAACACCAACCAACTGAAAAAAATACAACCAATTGAAAAACTATTTAACATGGTAAAATCAATATAGTTTAAGAAAGTTCGAAAACACTTTGAAAAAAGAATTTAAAAAACCATAAAAACAATTTCCATATTCAAAATCCTTGCCACTCATTAAATATTGATAAATGTGCAAAACATACCAAGATAAAACAACACATAAAAACTTAACTCTAACAAAACCCTGCTAAAATTATCAAATGATTTACAACAAAAGAAAGCATCAGTGTGTCTTCATCAAATTTTACCCATATATCACGAACAATATTACAAACTTTACCTATATATCACAAATGATATCACAAACACTCTAATACTTGCAGAACAACATAGAGCAATCAACATTAAAAAAATCAGGGTCATTAAACAATGAAGAAATTTTGTTACTCTTTAACCGCAAAACCTGGAAAAGTCAGCTAACAATTGTTCACAATGGGCTTTGACGAACACTTTGATGTAGTTGATACGTGTAAGTTGATAGATTTATACATTCTGGACTTTTTATCTAGAATTATAAAGTAAAAATGATTTAAATATTTTTCCAAAATGACTGATTAATATTAATGAGTAAAAAAAACTCATAGAATAAAATTGAAAAAGAAATAGTTGAAACATTTAAAAACACTGAAATCCAAATAGAAATAGAAATAAACCTAAACAGTGTTAACATTTTCTACATAATTTTTAACCTTCAAAAAACTTCTGCCAACCTTACAAAAAATCAAATGACTAATTACTATTCATTCACATTGAATCAAAACACCCACCTATGTAAACAGATCCCTTTTTCTATTAATGACAAGCTATTTTTGGATGAAAAGAAATTTAACCTATCAAAACTAAAATACAGAGAAGCACTAAAAAATAAAGTTTAAAAAAAATAACAAAAAAAAAAAAAAAGAAAAAATAAATAATGAAAATGAAACAACTTTGCCAAACTAATGGTTACATGCAAATATAACATCATTGTATGAAATAGGCGATAGACTTGAATCAGCTAACTACAAGCTGATTTCTTTAAGAACATTTTTGTGCAAAGTGATGGAAAGCATCAAATCAGAGATGAAATAATAAAGCATCTTAACAAACAATAATTTTAATAAATTTAAATTATTGATAATTAAAATTATTAAAAAAATTGTGATAATTTAAAAATAAAGTAAAAAATTATTACTAATTTAAAAATAAATTAAAAAACAAACAATAACTTAAATAAATTTAATAAATTTAAAAACATGGTTTTGTAAACAAGAAATTTGTTGTATAAATTTATTAGAAGCATTAGACATTTTCAGTAAAGCAATTGACTATAATATTCCAGTTGAAATATAATACGACTATAATATTACAGCTGAAATGTACCACATGGAAAACTATGTACAAAATTAGATGGTAATTATGTTAAGGGTTGTTAAAATGGTGCAAAGCATTTTTAAAGAATCTTATTTTAAATTTTTCAAAAAGAATTTAGAGAAAGTTAGTACTGAATAAATAGATTTGAATGAATGGATAGATTTTATATAAAGTATTTCACAGGGATCAGTTCTTGGACCATTATTATTTATTTTATACATTATTGATTTTATGTTAAACATAAAAAAACAAATCTAAATTATATGCAGATGATACAAAATTATTGGATAGATTTTCTATATAGTATTTCTTAGGGATCAATACTTAGACCATTATAATTTATTTTATACATTATTGATACAATGGTAAACATAAAAATATACAGATTATACAAAATTATTAAACTAGATCATAACAACAAAGCAGCAGATTTACAAGAAGATCTGAACAAAATTATCCAATAGATAAACAAATGGTAAATAAAACTTAAAAATGACAACTGCAAGGTTATTCATATTGGAAAAAAAAAACCTAAAAATTAATACTTGGTGCTTAATAATCACAAGGATAAAACATATGCCACTAAACTAAAAAAGCAATTTGAAAAAATGTACACACATACACATTCATACATACTTTGTACTTGTATCTGCTTGTTGTCTAAAATTTATTTCATAATAATAAAATAACAATAAAATATATTATAACTTGGATTAATTTTATAAAATTATTTGATAACATATGCCCTCCAAAACAACAATTAAACAAAAACACATCTGTGTGCATTAAAATTTTTAATGGTAAAAATGCCAACATGTTATAATAATATATGTTAATGCCAACATGTTATAATATGTCTATTGACTTGAATAAATAATAAGTTCAGAGATTTGTGTTCTTTGAAATCCTCTTCAGCCTAGACTGAAAAGATTTCATAGGAAAAACCAAGCAAAAATCTAAAAAATTGCTATTTTACTATGAAATGAAAAAAACATCTTTTATATATCAACAAATCCCTCATGACTCTGTAAAAAAGTTAATCAAGATCTTCATCGCTTATGTAACTGGTTAAATAGTAATCGTATTTCCTTGAATGTCAATAAAACTGAATACATTATTTTTCATTCCACTCAAAAAAACTATTCATCATATTAAAATTAAAATTAACGGTAAAAAACTTTTTCCATCAAAATATATAAAGTATCTTGAAATATATCTTGATGAAAACCTATTTTGGTATAATCAACTGCATCATCTAAAAAAAACTTACACGAGCAAACAGTATGCTTTTTCTAATTTGTTACTATGTTCCTATCCAAACTCTTAAAATGATTTATTTTTCTTTATTCTCTTCTCACTTTTGCTATTGTTGTATTGTTTGGGGTCAAAAAAGAAACTTTTTACTTAATAACATTGCTAGTTTACAACGCGCATCTATTAGAATAAATGACGTTTTCCCCAATGAGATCTGATATCAAAAAAAAAATTTCTGAACTAAAAATCCTAAAACTCCATAATCTTGTAAAGTTTTACAATTGTCTTTTTGTGTTTGACTTTCTCCAAAATAAACTACCAAGCCCTTTTTCAAATTTTTTTTATTAAAACAAACGAAGTTCATAACCATCACACCAGGAATACAGAAAATAGTAAGCTATACTATTCTTTTTTCAACACAATCAAATATGGTAAGTTTTCTATAAAACAACAATGTATTTCTCAATGAAACCAGTGTATTCCTGCATTAATAAAAAAGTCTAAGAAAAAATATCCACTTGTAACAAATTTTTTACTGCTCAACAGAATTCAACTTAAAAATATATTGTTGGAGTGTATTTCTTTATAATTTCTCTCTGTACTGTAGTTGTCTTCAATATATAATCTCTTTAACGAACAAGTGCTTTGTTTTTTACTTTATTTGTTATTTACCTATCTTATATTTATTTATTATTGTGTTATTAATGTTACATTTTATGTTATTATTATATCTAATTATCATGTATGATTTGTACATACAATTTATATTGTATTATAATATTCTTATTATTATTGGTACTTTATTATTATTGTTATTATTTTGTATTATTACTATTATTATTACATATATCATTATTATTTGTTTAACAATCTTTTCTTCTTTTCTCTTTTATTTATATATACAGATGTTAAGTGTTTCCCTTTTTTTTTTTTTTTGTTTGTTTGTTTGCTTTTGTTTCTTTTTTTTTTTTTTTATATATTAATTTATGATGAAATTTGTAAATTTTATTGATATGGTTGAATAAAAAAAAAATGAAATTATATGATGAAGCTGTTTTTAACCTTGAACCAACAAAGACTGAACAAAACCTTGGTGTAATCTGTAAACCTATTGGTGAATCTGTTTGATATTCTTTTCAAAAACAAAAAAAAAAAGATGTGAAGAGAAAGCTCTGCGAAAAAAAAAAAAAAAAAAAAAAAAAAAAAAAAAAAAAAAACAAGCTTGTTCCTATCCACTGTTGTTGAATAGGAACCAGTTGAAGTGACTGTCTTTATCTGAAATTTAATTTTTTTTTTTTTAATATTTTAAAATTCTTATTTTTTAAATATCTTAAAATTGCAATGGCAAGATAATTTGCACAACTATTAAAAAACAAAAATGTAAAAGGTGCTACTAAAGCTCACTAAATTAGTATTGATTGCAATCATTTTTGAATAATAAATACTTACCACATAATTTGACTTTTATCAATTGTAATTTTTTCTGATTCAGTTGTGCAGCCATTTTTGTTGTAATAGTCCAATAAATTCAAAAAAGTATAATTACATGCTGCAGGTCTGTCTCTATCAACTTTCATCTTCTTTGAAAACTCAGAAACATTTTCTTTCTCTTTCAATTCCAAACAAAAATTAAGCATTGATGGATTGTGGTTTTCATATTGCAAAGCTCTCCAACATCCTGGATGTTGACATAATTGACTGCATATACTCATCTAACTAGAATAATTAGATGAGCATATGCTTTTTTGTATTTACTTTTTTAATATATAATTTCTATGAAATAGATATTTAAATATTATTAAAAATTGATTTGACATAAATTGTATTTGACAGATGTTGAAAACTGTTCAGGCTTTTAAATAAAGCAAGTTGAATAAATTGAAAAAAAAAAAAAAAAAAAAAAAAGGGGGGGGGGGGAGATTAAATGATATGTTTTACATAATATGTTCAAACTATTTTTTACTTGTTTATACCAACATAGCGTAATATTATTAACATGAAGAAATAATAGAAAGGAAATATTTAGTAGGCATGTTTTTTGATTTTAGGTATTTAACTTATCTGGTAGAGCAGAGGAGGCATCATTGGCAAGAGTAAGATTCGTCTTACTATTGCCCTGATGCTTCTTCTTAAAGCAAGAGGTACACTTTTGAAGATTTAAAAAATTTATATACGTCAGTTCTCTGTTGCATTTAGAGTTTGTATACCAGTAAAATATAAACAATGAATGTTAAGGATGTCCAAATCTAAAAAAAAACAGATGCAATGGTTAGATAAATGTGTAGTGAAATTCTAAAAGATAAAATTAGAAACAATCATAACACAATATTTTGTTAAAAACAAGTTAAACGAAGAAAAGTAGTGTACACCTATAAAAGTAAAGATTAATTAATTTTATAATAATTAATCCTTAAATGATGCTTATTTTAAAAAATTACATTAAAATGCGACATTGCGGAATTGTTAAAACGTTGTTATGGAAATTAAAAAGAAGACAAAACCTATTGCTCCCTTATTGTAGTGCTTTTCGCGTGAGTTTGCGTATGAGAGTGTTGTGTGTATGTGTGCTTTTACGTGCTTAATACACGGGAGACGTCAGTTCTCTGTTGGTCAAAAATGTTTTCGTTTATTTTCCCCACCTCTACTTTTTATTCTCAACTTCCTTTGTATCCGCGAGAGTGGTTATTAAGTGTGACAATAAAATAAATTTTTTTTTTTTACATATTATTTAAAAAAAATTTCTTTAATCACACTTAATAACTTAACAAAGAGAGGTAGAAATAAAAAAAAAGGGGGGGGGGGGGTAGGGAAAATAAACAAAAACACTTGATTATATTGTAATGTGGCTTAATTGTATTAACTGCTTATGCACCGATGCATCGACATCTGCCTGCCGATGCATCGACCATTTAGCCGATGCGTTGTCATTGGCATCGGTCTTGGTAACTATCGACCGATGCTAATTGTTTGAAAAAAACACTTTTTATATTTAATTTTGCGTTTCTATATTATAAGCAAAACTATAATTCTTCTATGTATGAACAAGCCTAAGTTAACCTAAGTTCCAATGCATGAACAAGCTTAACTTATTCTGAAACCACTTAACTTAAATATTTTTCGAGTAAGTGTAAATGTAATGTAAAATGTAAAAAAAAAATTCTGCCAGATGTTTCTCTTCTTGATATTTTTATTTTGTAAAAGTTTACGAAAATCCTTTTTTTTTTACATAAGTTTATTTTTATCTACATCAAAATAGCTTATCAGACTTTTTTTGGTTATTATTTGATTTTTATGAGCGTAGTATTTAAGCAAGATTAAAATTAAGCAACTATACCAAATAAGCAAGCATGAAAATTGACCGTTAACATTACATTTGAAAAAAAATTTATCTAATTTACCTATTAGTAAAAAAGAAAAGAGTAAAAAGTTAAATTTATAACCGATGCCGATGCATGTGTTATAAATGATTGCTACAGGCTGATACTGACGCATTGGTATTGGCCGATAGTTGGCATCGGTACACACCTAATATTAACTGAATTAAAATTCTATATCATGCTAATTAATATATATTTTTATTCAGTTTAGGTTTAGAAGCGCAATAATTGCAAAGCTGTTGTTTTTATACTTAAAGTTCCACTTTTTAGTTTTTATTTTATAAACTTTTTTAATTTAAGGTATAAAGGTACGGTTAAAATTCTAAATTTTTTAACCAAAGAATATTGATTTTTTTCATATATCAAAGTTTCATATTTTTTAATTTTGGACCTAAGTTTTGGGTTGCAAAACCTAAAAAAGTCAAAAGACGCTGCGATAGATATTATGACAATAGTAGGTGCTATAAAACTCAAACTTTTAGTGTTTGAAAAATTGTAAAGTTAGCTTAGAGCACCAAGGAGATACAGCATATACAACTAATGGGTTATATTTTACCCCAAAAAAGGTTTGCCAGAAAACTAATGTCAAAAACATATAAGACAGGCAGCTTTATCCAGGCGGAAATTTTTATATGCCTACTTCTTTCACCTTGAAGGCATTCCCGTACGAGTTTTTTATACAACACTCAGAACATTAGCGAACAATTTTTTTATTTATTTTTTTAAACATTTCTAAACGGATACAAACACACATTCCCCAAGAAAACAAGGCAAATATACAAAAAAGAAAATTCCTGATGCATTCAGAGATGGCATCAGGGAACACATAAACAGTATTTCTGTTATAGACTCAAACTATTACCGTGCCAATACAGAAAAAAAATAACTTGAATATGAGTTTTCTATTAATTAACTGTATGAGCTCTACCAAAATATAAGCCAGCAAAAGGGACTTCAATCAGCTCAAAAGCATTTATAGTTTGATATTTTTCTATAAATAATGAATAAGTTTTTCTTTGTTGGAAAGATATATTATCTTTCCAACAAAGAAAAAAAGATAAGTGTGATAAATGTAAATTTTTTAAACCAAAAGAGCTTAAGGTACTTTAAGTGATTGTGAGCGAGCTTAATATCTAAATCATATTGAACTCAAAGTAGATGCTTGCTAAGAGCGGAAAAAAGATAGAGTCCAGAAATCTTATTCTTTGTTTTGATTTACAAAGTTTAATAATACTGCCCAAAACTAAGACCTCAAACTTTTTTTATTTTAGAAAGCTGTCTATTTATAATATGATAGCAAATCTTTATATGGATAAAGCTATTTACTATTGTATCTGGTCTGATGGCCAATCTGGCAGATCAGGAAATGAACGGCATCTGCTATCCTAAAAGTTTTAGATTTTTTGATTACCACACATCCACAACTTGAGAACCTCATTTTATGGTCTGATTTATGCGTTCCGCAAATCAAAAACATTTTTTATTGGGAGCATTGCAATAAAACATTTTTTAAATACACACACAGATAAATACACAGATGCAGAATCTATCATTTAAAAATATTCTGCAAGCGTCCATGCTCGTGTTCAAGAAGTAGATGCGGTGCATAGCAGCATTGACAAAAAATTAAAAAAGACTGAGGTATACAGTCTGCTAAATTTGATAAAAGTATTATAGTCTGTTAGGCGCCGGTAACCACTAAATAGCCTGCAGATGAAAGATGTTGACTTTTTTAAATATTCAGGCTGCAGCTAAAAGTTGAAACTTTTAGCTGCAGCCTGAAATGCCTTTGTTGATTTCTTATATAAATGTTTTATGTAAAAAAAATTGTTGCTTTTGAACACAATCAATATCTAAAATACAGATATTATTAGACATTTTTAAACGCCTAATAAATTCATGACACACTCAAAAATAATATTTAAAAAGATAAAAGATTTTGTACAAAATTACAAAATGTACAATGTACAAAATGTACAAAATAAAAATGTAATGTACAAAATAAAAAGAACAATAAAATTGACATAGTACTTTATACAACTTTAGCGTTTTGTAAAGTTTGTCAGAAGATTGTTCTTTTTCAAAAGAGAAAAATCATTATTTTAAACACAAATACACAATTGTTTTCTAAAAATGGTTTATAAGTGTATTATATACTGATCTTAACGACCTTTTAACCAAATTTTTAAAAAAATTTGGTGAAAAGTCGATTTTCAATATTTTTCGGTCTTTGAGATTTTAATCGCGTTTTTCTCAAAATTATATTTTGGTGACAGAATAAAATAATACTAATAGAACGGAAAATATGTATAGGAAAAAATAGAACGGAAGATATGTATAGGAAAATTCAACAAAGACAACTACAATTGGAAATAGTATTCGTATATAGAGTTAGAAAATGCTTTGAAACCAATTGCTAGCATCAAATATATGTTTAAAGCGTAAGCAAAATTTCGTTCAAAGAGTAACAATTTGAAAACATATTGTACTTGCGCGCAAAATTATTAAATAAAAAAATTTAAAGATTCAAAATAGCTCTAAACTCAAAAAAAAAAAAAAAACATGTTGAATAAAAAAAAAATACTTTTATAAAAACCTAGTTACTTCTAAATCCTTAGAAGTCTAATAGCTTACTGAAATCCTCAAAATATAAAACAAAATATATAATAATTATATTTAATATATATATATATATATATATATATATATATATATATATATATATATATATATTTAATCAAATAAACTAATTCATAATAAGTAGATTGACAACAACCTTGATAGTACGAAAAATAATTTTTTGCAAAATAATTAAAAAGTTCAATAAGAACGACTAAAAAAATTTAAGAAGTAAATTAAGATCTAATTGGAAAAAATAATTATATAACAAACACTAAAACTTTTAACAGTTTATATAATTAGTCAACAAAAAATAAAATTACTCCTAAGCAGTTTAAAAACAAAACGGTTGTTAGTATTTATGGATTTTAATATATTTAATTTCAAATGTTTTTTTGTTTCCAAAGTAAAATCAATTAATGTTAATTACATTGATTTAATCAAGAAGTTAATTATAAAAATGAATATTCGTTTAAATTCGGATTACGAAGTTTACTGAAAAGCAAAGTTGACTTCAGCTTCGGTGCAGACGTTGAAATTGAAATTCGACTTTCAGTTAAATTTGGTAACTATTTCAAAATTTCATTTAACTTTCAGTTAAATCTAAAAGCAATAAAGTTTTTTTCAATTTGTAAAGAAAAAGAGTTATATAATAAATTATATGTTCTATGTGTATCTACTGTTTCTATTGGTTACAACCCTCTTTCAACTCCAAAAAGTAATTCGGAGGGTTGTAACTATTATAAGAAGTAGCTTCCTCGACTAAAAAACTTAAAAGCAAGAGACCTAGGTTCGAAGCAAGCTCTGGGAATATTTCACGCTATCGGTAAGAAAGAAGTTTTGAACTTTTTAGTTTAATACTTTTCTGATATTCTCCGAGGCAAAACCGTTAAGTCTTCTTAGCGCATTTGAAAAAAAAAAATTCTATTTTAATAAAATGTATTTTTAAAATCCCAATTCGTCTTTCAGTTAAATTCGGTATACGCATGTGATCTAACTTTGGCTTTCATTTAAATTCGAGTTTTAAAAAGTCGATTTCGCGGTCCTTACTCACAATGTAATTTTATTATGGTATTCTCGTGTTAGATTCTTTACTCCTAATGTTTTATTCAAAAAATATTTATTAAACTTAGAAAGAAATATCTATTAAACATCTTAGCAATTCTTAATCATTGTTGAAAAAATTATTACTAACTTTAACAGTTTTTACATTCAACCGATATCAAATAATATAATTTTCAACAGTTATTTGATTTTCATTTTAACCGACTAGTCTGTATTTTTAATGTTTTTTCAAAATATTTTGCTCCATAGACGCAACAATATGTATATACTTTGACAGATGTAAACATAAACGCAGCAAAGTGTACATACAATGACTGTTAAAGCTATAAACACAGCAGTGTCCATAAATCGATTAAAGGTTTCTGTAAGCGGGCACTTATTTAGTTTATAGAAAACTTTATTTCAAGTTTAGTTAAAAAATTGAATATATACAAAATACACATGAAAAAAGTAGTAGTTATTTATGTCGGTTAAAAATCCAATTAAGATATCAGTACGTTGAAAAGTTAGTAGTTCAAGTAATAATTAGATGTAATCATGACAATGCAAAAGCTGCCGATTGAAAATCAAAATTGATTTAGAAAGTTGAAAATTACGATTTTAGAATTAAGTTCGATTAAAATCCATTGTTTAGTAAATTTAAATATTACTTTCTTTTTTTACCCATCGGTTTTTTCATATAATTGTAAATTTTATATATATTTAAACGGTAAAATAAATTTAATAGTCAATATAAAAAAAAAAAAAAAAAGAAAAGTGCTTAATAAGTCTTTTTTAAAATATTTCACGAGTATGCCCAAAACCATTATTTTATTATCGCAATTACATAACGTAATAGGATAATACTATTTAGGTAATAGGATAATACCATAATAATACCATTTTAATAATAATTTTTAATTATATCACCAATAACCAACAATGTTAATTATAAAAAAATTACCTTGTTACCAGGCTTTTAAAAGCCATTCATCTATTTCTCAAAGATAAATAATTATTTTATACAACATTTTAAGCATTAAAATCTTTAACATGACAACTATATCATATGCGAAATGTATATTTATATATTTACATCATATTCACAATAATCTTTAGAAATATATTATATACGAAATCTTCAGTAATAATACGATATTTATTAAACGATTATCTATATTATTAAACAATTAAATATTCAGTGAACAAATTTGAGTATTTCGATACGCAAAAATGTCCAATTTCTAAATCCAAACATTAGTTACCTACTTTTCGTCAGGATCAGGATCATGATTATACTTAGATGCTCCGGGTGGAATGTAAGGTTCGATCATTGTAGCAGGTTCGCAATCATAACCTAATTTTTTCATGTCTTTAGTTACCACATTAAACCTAACAGTTATCTTACCATGAGAACGGACACGCGTCACTTCTCTACCTTCACTTTGAGCAACAACTTTAGGGTCAATAAATTCCGGTCTTCTGCCAAATATCCAGGAAGTAAACTTTTGAAGCAGTGAAGAGGACTCTGGTACAAATAATCTAATATTTCTAATATGACAACCGGGCGATGTCGGAACATGAACTGAGCCATAACCACGAACAATATCAGTACCAAAAAAGTCTGGTCCATAACAACTTATTACTAACTGAGGCCAACCATAAGGATTAGTACTCTTAAACGTGGCATCAAGGGGAAAATTAAAAACAAATAATTGTCTTCCGTCGTTACTTTTTGTGGTTAATTGAGACAGTCCCTCCTCTGAGCCAGACGCAATAACCCAATCTTGACCGTAAACGAAGCTGGATTTACAATATAGTTCACTAGCTCCAGAAAAAGAAGCAGACTCAATCTGACCAGATACCATTACCAAGAATACGGAATTATGTAAACTATTCTTAGCCATGGTTTTTCCAACATTGTTAATATCAAAATTTGTAAAAATATTTTTTTTCTTAAAAACAAATAACACTAATAAATTATGCATAAACTAAGAAACTTTAAATAATTATAAAAAAATCAAGTCGAAAATTCAAGTTGAGCATTTAAGCACTTAGTAAATCAAGAACTTAATTTGAAGTTATTGCTGGCATTAAAGTTAAAGTTACGGCAAAAAAGTCATTAAATGTAATAAATTATTTAAATATAAATGCTATAAATGGTAAAAATAAATGAGCTATTAATCAAACCCAAAAATCATATGAATCTATTAAATGCGATATATATATATATATTCGATATATATATATATATATATATATATATATATATATATATATATATATATATATATATATATATATATATATATATATATATATATATATATATATTCGAACACAAATAAGATAAAGAAAAAACTTTTTTTATTAATTTAATTTTTTAAAAACATAATGAGGCGTTTCTAATCCTCTAGAATTGTTCGGTTGTCGTTTCCAATCCTCTTGTAATGATTTCATTTTTTTTTCATTTTGTTTTTTTTCTAAATAGAAATATTTTGTTAAGCTAAAGCCAAAACAAAAAAAAGCTGGGTAAAAAAAATCCAAGAAAAAGCGATACTTCTTGAGCTATAATATAAAAATGTAAGAAATACCTCTTGAATCTTTTTAATATTCTTTTTAAGCACATTAACATCAACACTAGTTGATTCTAAATTAAATACAAAACCGGTAAAAAATCCATCAATGGAAAGTGGAGACAAACAAAAAAGAAAGAACTTTGTAAGGGATAAAAAACAACAACTGAAAAGTTAATTTAAAGACCATAAATGTTTGTTGCTGATAATGAAACAATTTGTTGCCAACTTTTTTTTTTATATTTTATACTTTTAGGTGCTAATAGTCATGTTTTAACAAAAACCCATGAAAAAAGTAAAGAATGCAACATGCTTATATCTATGCTAACCTATTAGATAAAAAGTTTTTACTTTTCAACAAGTTTTTTACTTATCTCTGAAGTTATTGCCAAAAACATTTCCTACAAGACAGCAGCCAGATAAAAAATAATAAATTCATAAAAATTTAAAAACTAAAGTTACTTTTTGAGGTTTCTGTATCATTTTTATCATTTGGCTTAACTTCAGAAGGAGGTATAAACGATTGTTGGCGTTTAATTTTACGCTGAACACCTGCTTCTTCTTGCTTTTTCTAAAATGAAATGTTGTAAAATACTCATTGAAAAAAAAAAAAACAAAACAAAAAAAGCTCTAATGGAAACTAAAATAATACAAGTTATTTTATACAGATTCTTGTAAATCGATATAAATAAAAATATACATTAATTTTATTATCAATATTTATTATGACAATTTTTAGCAACTGAATGCCCTGTCCTGTTTTTCAGACAGATATAAAAGAGTAAAGTTCATGAAAATTACGTGTTTTTTGTCAAAAATCAAATGTTTTTCGTTGCGGTTTAAAATTGCTATCCTAGGTAAATTGTTTTCAACATAGCTGAAATGGCTATATTGCCTATAGTTATGTACATAGCAGCATAGCTGCAAAGACTATAATGCTATAATGCATTTGTACCTGGCTAATGTAGGACGTAGAAAGTTTTTTTTCTAAAGCCAATTAATAAGTTCAACACTTAAGTCCAATGTTATTTGTTTTATGAACTCCATCAACTTGATTTAAAAAAATAATACTTATCCATTATTTCATGATTCTTTCTCTAAACCCATAATACTTACCGCTTTAATGTTGAAGAAAAAGGCTAAAATTTTCTAAACTATACACTCAGGAATGATACAATCTAGTTCTTTGATGTGTATTTACTAATACTATTTTAATACGTATTTACTAATACTAATTCTACGATTACTGAGCAGTAATCATAGAAAAGTTTTTAATTAGATTTTCTGTAAGTCCTTTAGATACTCCTTGAAAACTTTTGAAATTCAGAATATCGTTTAAAAATGCCAAGATGTCTGTGCATATGTTAGCTAACTGACTTAACTGACAAACATTCAGTTCATATGGCATTTAAACATAGAGCTGGGAGACCTTACCAATTTATGCAACTGGTATTCTATTGTACTATGAATGCATCTAAGTTTGCTTACAAGGAAAACTTAAGTAGCAATTAGTTCATCCTCCATCATTTTTAACTAAAATTTAATGCTGTAAACCAATTCCATTAGTCTGTTGGATTTGCCATAGAACCCCTGGCCTATCCAATTGTGTTGTGACATTGGTTACTGAGTGGTCCAACTAAAACTAAAAACCAAACAGTACTTGGTCTTTCAACAAAAAAATATTTTTTCAGGATTTTATAAACTGTGGTTCTAGTTTAATTGCAAATTTCAAGGTGCATAGAACTATAAATAAACTTTCATATAAGTCTCCACAACCAAAATTATAGCAACTGTCATATAACCTAAAGAAATCCTGGCAATGACCTTCCTCAGTTTATTACCCTGCTTCCATTATAAAATGTCAATATGAAATAATGGTACATGCACCAATACGTACAAAGGATTTTTGCTTCTATTGAATATCTTGTTGAAAAACATTACTAACCAGCAAGTTTTTGTATTCAATCTCAAACATGATTTTAGTGTCAATGGAGACAGGCCATCATTTTTGTTCCACTACAAATATTGATTCTTCTGCTTTAAAATTTTTGCAACTATTATGGATTTTTAAAAATATTGTGGATGTTCTATATGCGGATGTTCTAAAAGACACTAAAGTATTAAAATAAAAGACTAAATAAAAAATTCATTTATTAGAATTTGATTTTTTTTATTTTAAAGTGAAACTCAAACTTTTTGTTTTTGTGGTTACATAAAAAAACAAAAAGAAACTTGAATATAATTATTTTGATAGACTAATTTATTAACACTTTAGTGTTTGTCTGCAGAAAACAGATAGGGGAATTAAAAGTAGAAGGGTATATTCTATTCCTTTTGCCTAATTGTTGTTGTTGTTACTTATTATTACTACTATTACAAAATGTTATAGTTGTTAATTACATTCTGTGATACACTGTATAAATATAAATGTTATACTCTCTTTATACAAACAAATAAGATATAACACCTTTAGTAAATAATAAATTGATAGAATCAAAAAGAAGCCATAATAATTATACCACATATAATTATTATGTCTAATACCACAGTGAAATAATTGTCCTATACCATAGTTATCTATATTTGCTAATTTATTTTACAAAGTAAGTCTTATTAATTTTAACTTTTTGAATATGATTGATATCATATTAGATATTATTAAAAGTATATTAAAAATGTCTGGTAATATATTAAAAATAAGAACCACAATCAATACAAATGTTAAATTGATCACCTAAGATTTATGCCAGAAGTATACTGTTAGTTTATAATATAAAAGAATACTGTAGTATGTACCACTTCACCAGATTCATCACATTAGTAGTATATGCATAGTATGCAATTTATTCATTTATTTAAAGTCACATAGTATGTAATTTATTTATCTATTTAAAGTCACATTAAGTCACATAGTATGTTTTTATTCATCTAATTAAAGTTAAATTAAGTCACATAGTATGTAATTTATTCATCTATTTAAAGCCACATTTAGTCACATAGTATGAAATTTGTACACCTATTTTTTTTTTTTTTTTTATACCTATATAGTAATTTGTATACCTAGTCACATTAAGTCACACAGTGAATATTGTTAGTTACTGCTTTAAGGTGAATTTACTGTTTTACTCAATGAATAAAAAATTAAACTTCAAATTAAAAAATTTTAAACAAGTGACTAAACAACAATGACTATAAGAATAACACTTTTACTTTTATTTGTATATAATCATAAAATTATTTAAAAAAAAAATAACCTTTTTGTTTTCTCTTTCTTTTAAAACTTTTTCTTCTTTGTTTAAAAAGTATTCACCACTTGCTAATTGAATATCAATCTACAATAGTTACACAAACAGTTACAATATTGTACAAATACAGTTATCTACAATCATACATTGGAACGCAAATAAAAGTCAAGCCCCTGTGGATTTGATTAATATTGTTTAATTCCTTTTATATACTATTGTTTTAGATACTTACACATTCAAACCAATAATTGTTTTATTCAGGTTATAATTTTTTAAAGGATTTTGTCAGTAACTTACTAGAAAAGTTATAACTTTATATATAAAAATTTATAACAATATAAGAAATTAAACAATATTAATCTACATAGGTCTCACAAATGCACAAGGGACTTGACTTTAGAAACATCTTGCTCCAATAAAAGTTAAAAAAATTAGTTGTATTATTATTATTTGTGTGATTATGATAAAGAAATGTTTACTTTGTTGGTAATTTAACCCACAATATTCAAAATAAAAAAGTTCTAAAACTCAATCAATAAAATTAGTTTATTTACAATTAGTTTTCGACAAAAGAAAATGTGTTGGGAAAAAAGTTCTATTATTATTTAGTTTTAAAAACTTTTAGGTAAATTTATTACTTTTGAAACAAAACATAAATATCAAAACTAAATATTTACAGGGCGTTTTACCTGACACATAAAAAGTGTAAAAAACCAATCAAAAGTGTAGGAAAATGAGCAACCCAAGAAACCCAAAATCATAAAAATAATTGAATAATATATGATAGCGAAAGTAGCAGTGAACGCCTGAGGGATGAAATGAAGTACATTAGAATAAAGGAGAATTATTTATTAGACAAAACATATTTTGACAGTTGTCGAGACAAAAATAAAGATTCATAGAGGAATATTTAAAAATAAATAAGACAGATTATTCAGTTAATAAAATATTATTGAGAACAACATAATTAGATTACATTGTTCTCAATAATATCTTAAATTAGATTTAAAATATTATTGAGAACAATGTAACATGATTTTTATATATTTTAGGTAGAGTATACTTCATATATTCAAATAAATAAATCACAAGATGATGTTGAGTTATTCTGCATATTGTGTAATCAAAAGTTTACAGCTCTTATCGGTGGAACACCCAACCTTAAGAAGCATTTACATCACAACATGTTGGGTATGTGGTTAGACTCATACGACACACTAAACAAATTAAATAAAAAACGAAACATGCTAGATGCTGATACTTTGAATGCTATCAAGTTTTTTATTACATTAAACTGATTAATTAATTCATATAATAATCCCTTTTTGAGAAGAACAGTCAAAGTTCCACATCCTTATGAAAAAAGTTTTAGAGAAAACTTGATACCAGAAACGATGGAAAAATTATCAAACATAATTAACAAAAAATTAGAGGATGCCTTGATTGTCACTATATTTAGTGATATATGGACATCTCCTGCAATGTTGGACTTTATTGCAAATAGTGCAATATTAACAGTAATTTTAAAAAAGCAATCATCATTATTGGTATGCAACAAATGACAGGATGTCACAATGCAAAAAATATTAAATTAGGAGTCGGAAAGTTAATTACTGTAAACACAATGAATTTATTGATTAAATAAGTTATATTTATTTAAAAGCAATTACTTGTGATGAAGGGAGCTCATTTGTCATTTCATTGCTCAATTGTTTAAGCAATTATTTGAAAAATCTCAAGAAGAAAGAGTTAAAGTGACAAAAGGTGGCGATAGTGCATATGAAGATGATCCATTGCTGAACCAAGAGGTTCAGCAATGGATCATCTTCATATGCACTATCGTATTGAAGATGAAGTCTTAAATATTGAAATTCAAAATTCTGATGAACTTCCTGAAGTGCTATCAACTGAATCAAGAAAGCTTACTTTTACAAATATTATTCAGTTATCCAAAACAGCTGAGGATGTAAACATCACTTATGACTTTAACAAAGAAAATGAATACAATCTTCACAGTATTAAGCTAACTAAACATCTTGAATCATGAACATCAAAACTACCATGGTTACCATGGTTTTCTTGCGCAGCTTATAAAACAAACATCGCTCTACGAATCCCTATTAGGAAACAAAAATATGTATCATTTACTTGCAACACTTTCAAAGTACGTAAGAAGCACAAATCAATCTATAAATAGCGTTCAATACCACATAAAAAATAAAGCTAAATTATAAACAAGTTGTGATGAAATTCTTTGGTCAGCTGCTTTTCTAATGTTACAAAAAAAAAAAAAAAACAAAAAAAAAAAAACCAAAATTGTTTAAGAGCAGTAGAAAAGCTACACAAAGTCCTAAAACTCTTTATGCTACATAATATTTATCGAAGTGCTTCAGAATCGCAACCAGGATATGAGCTTACACAAACGAAAGAACAATTGACTTCAAATGATCAGCAAACTGATTTGCTCAGCCAATTTATGCTAGATGGCAGCCTAATTTACAACTTTGTTTATTGAAATCGAAAAAGAAAAACTTAACTTAAACAAATTGAAGAGAAAGGACTTACTATATCTGTGTATCCTTCTTATGATTTTTGGTTCAAAAATTCTAAAATGCCAATGTTACAAAAGCTATTTGTCATCTTACTAAATATTCCATCATCAGCAGCTTTTATAGAGATATATTTTAGTACTTCTGATTTTGTATGTGAGAAGAGACAAGGCAACATGAACGCTGATCAGATTATCAGTCGCTCATTGTTAAAAGTAAACTTAAAACTTCTTGAAAGTTTAAATTATTTTTCGGACGACAATGACTAAGTGAATTGTAAACTTATAATATAAAGATAATATATTTTTTGAACTTGAAAAGTAAAAAAATAAAATGAATATATAACGCAATAATTTCAATAATAACAATAATTTTAATAATTTAAATAAAACAGTTTAAATAAAAATTATATCATATCTTTGAATTAAAAAATAAAAAGGAACTGCTTAATAATTTGCATTACTACATTTTTTAAATCAGATTAGGTATGTCTTGTTTGTGTTAAGCTTGCAAACGCATATATACGCGTAAGTTTGAGTTACGTTTATAAACGCATGCGCAAACACAGTTATTTGCATAAATTGCGTTTACATTTACGTAAGTAAAAGCAATAAATTGCGCCAAATGCATTTGAGTTTGTGTGTGAGGATTTATTTTGGAACTCTAACGCAAAACAGTATTTTTTGCGTTCCAATGTATGGCTACAATATAGTACAAATACAGTTAGCTACAATACAAACAAGAGAGTTTTTTGACTTCTTAATAAGGAAAAAAAAAAAACCAAAACCGTTCAAACTGTAATAAATTATAAAAAAAAAACCTTGCTCTCTTGTTGAGGTGGTGGAAACGGTGTATATGGTTTCTTTTCTTTAATTTTTGGTTTTTTTCTTTGAACATTTTTATTTTTAAACTTTGGTAAAAATCGACTCCAATTTTCATTTTTTAATGTAGGATCTTTAGCGAGCTCTCGTTTGATCATCATTATCTATAAAAAAATCAATTTATACTTTTTATAAGTTCATAAAAATGTAAGGATTGTAAAATTTACAATATAAATAAATTTGTAAATAAAAATTAAAACTTATATATATATATATATATATATATATATATATATATATATATATATATATATATATATATATATATATATATATATATGTATATATATATATATATATGTATATATATATATATATATATATATATGTATATATATATATATATATATATATATATATATATATATATATATATATATATATATATATATATATATGTATATATATATATATGTATATATATATGTATATATATATGTATATATATATATATATATATATATATATATATATGTATATATATATATATATATATATATATATATATATATATATATATATATATATAAATATATATATATATATATATATGTATTTATTTATATATATATGTATGTATATATATATGTATATATATATATATACAGTGACGTATCCAGAAATTTTTTGGGCATACCGGTCTTTTTTTTTACTCAAATTTGAATAGAGATTATTCGTATAAAATATATCACTCACCCTAGTTTTTTAGGTTTTTTCTAACAAAAATTTAAATAATTAATCAAAATAATGTTACATTTATTACAGAACGACGGCTTTAACTACAACATCGATTCATCGCTACTCGCTACTTTTCATTTACTTGCTCCATTCACTTACTAATTATAAATTATAATTAATAGTATTTATTAAATTATTAAATTCAAAATATTAAATATTGTTAACTAGAAATATTTATAATATTTATATAACGTTTAGTAAACAATATTTGTATGACTCTTTGGTATAAACTTGATAAGATTTATTACATAGCGTATTTAAAACAAGGTAAATTCATTCAAAATTTTAATTACTTCATTCAAAAATTAATACCTTTTTTTTTTCAGTTCTACTCTTACTATTCAAATCAAGTTTTTTGGCGCGAATATTAAAATATTAATTTAATTGTTTAAATAAATGTTATTCTAATTTTATGTTTTAAAAACTTTCATTCGTTTTATTATTTAAAGTATTTTTAATACAATTTTTACTGTTATTTGAAATGAAAAAGTTTAAATTCAGTTTAATCGCTTCGAAAATTACGTTAATGAAACATAAGCGGAGGAGAAACTCAAATTAATGTATTTTAAAAATGTTATTTAAAAATTACGTTAACGAAACGTAAGCGGAGGAGAAACTCAAATTAACGTATTTTAAAAATGTTGTTTAAAAATCCTAAGCGTTTCATATTTTAATCAAAACATGCGTTTTACATTTAATCCAATTACAACATATTCTTTATTTCATCAACGTGAATTTGAATTAGGCATTTTGGTTGGCTTTAAAAGTCGTTTTTCAAATGTTGGTATTTCTGTGATCACAACAAATGCTAATATAAACTGTTTTAAATTGAGTTTGGGATGAAATTTGGGGGCCCATACCGGTATACTGGTATCAAAATCGGCCTGGATACGTCGCTGATATATATATATATATATATATATATATATATATATATATATATATATATATATATATATATATATATGTATATATATATATATATAAAATCAAAATTGAATACTAAACTTTATGTATTAAAAATTTACAGAGGTAATTAAAATCTATAAATGTACTTTTATATTGTATATTGGATGGATATTTTTCATAGTCTCTTCAACCACATTTCTAACCTAAAAAAATACAGCAAATATACAACAGAGTAAGAATATATATAAAATATATATAATAAAAAGAGAGGAAGTTATTGCTCTTCAAGGTAAATCAAAATAACTGTGGTGCTAGTAAGAATTTATAAAAATTTGGATAAATTATGTTCTATTTTTTAAATATCGTCACGATCATAGCACAATCGCCTTCATTTTTTTCTTGTTTTGAGAAAACTAAAAAAAACTGAATAACTTGGGTATTTCTTTTGCTACGTCACTTTGGTTTATTTTGTGGCATCTTATAACTTAGATGATTTCATATATTACTTTAAAAGTGATTTGTGTATTACCGTTAGACACAATAGGATATAGGAAGAAAACAAGTTGTCTAAGTCAAAATACAGATTTAGGCAAAAATAAAAAAAATAAAAATAAACTGCTTTCTGATTGATTTAAGACATAGGTGATTTGCCACATAATAGATATAATGTATAAGTTATACATTTCAACTCTTAACTTAAAACCCCCCAAAAATGACTTAGGCAATTGTGCTATGATCGTGACGATATTTAATTATTCTAAATAAAAACTCACATAATTATATGGGTTTCTACTGATTTGAAAAAATTATGTAAAATGTATTAGATATTATGCAGTGCTTTGGAACAAAAATTGTAGTTGTATTTATGTAGAGATCAGTATAACCACATAAAAGAAAACTTAATATTTATGTTGATGTTAAATTACTTAATTATGTTGATGTTAAATTACATAAAAAATATAAAATAAAACTTTTTATTATTTACATTATCAAATTATTATTATTAGTATGATTACAAATATTTACTATTAGTATGATTTACTTAAATTAATACTTAGAATAAATTTTCTATATAACTAATAAATTTAAATCCACCAATTAATAACCAAAAAGTAGCAGCCTCCTCAGCATGTAGCAACCTTTTGTTTGGGTGAGTACAATAAATTAAAAAAAATGTAGAAAAACAACTTTAAAGTTATATATTGAGCACAGTCAGTACTTTATTCATCATTAGTACCAAAAGCACTTTTTGTTTTTTAAAATGTAAGTAAAAAAAGATATTAAAAAGCTCTGCAACATGAATTCTTTGTATTACTTGTTCCTAATTATAATAAAATAAAAGCTCTTGCTTCATTAACTCTCAAAAAAAATTCAACATTCTATGTAAGTTAATTTTTTTTTCACTTTAGTTTTTTTTTTACCTTAAATTAAATTTGTTATTGTTTTGGTGATGAATGAAAAGATTTTCATTTGAAGAAATTTTTTTTGTTATAAAAAATATTTCTTCAAATTTGTTAAAAAAGCGCTTAAGATTATGGACGTGGAAAGACAAGCCTCTCTTAGGAAAATGCCACTCACAGAGTAGGTAGCAGAAATTATGGACTAGAAGTATATAAGGAGCAAAATGGATGTAGTAGTAAGGCAGCTAATTGGTGTTTTAGCAGGATTTCTGAAGAACTTATATATAAAAAAAATAATACTCAAAATAAAACCAATATTGTACAGCACTTACATACAGGGTATTTTAAAACATAAACATTCTGATAGGGTATGCCAAGAAAGATCACATTAATTTCAGAGTAGATTAGGAAAAAAAAAGAAAAAAGAAGTTAAAATATTAAAAGAGAGTAGCAAACGACGAAAGCAAGTCAAGAGAAAAAAACAGAGAACAAAGGTGCTAGTGAAACAAATTTAAAATGAAATAATATTTATTCCCATCCCCCTTCACTTCTAAGAAAAACCATTGAATAAACTTACTTGCTTGAGGCCTTTAAATGACCCAATAGCAGAAACCGTACCACCTTGTACCAATATGTAGCATTCTGTCAATAGTTCAAGAGCCTAAACAACATTAAAGAAAAATAATAATAAATAAATAATCTTCTTAAAGTAACTGAAAATTGTATTAGAATAATAAACTTTTAGCTGTCATGAAATGTTTGACATTGTAATGATTACTACTTTTAGGCTATTTTAGAAAGTTGCTGAGTAAAAAAAATGCTTAAAACAACAGCAATTATTATTGGAATCTCCTATAATAAACTTCTTCACAACTATTATAAATCCAAAATTAAAATAACTTTTTTAGAAAATTTACTTTTAAAGTTGCACCATTAGGACCAATAAGCCTTTGTCTCCTTTTAATAAAACGCTCTTTATTTCTAACCAGATTGCGTATTTTAATTATGTCACATGCTACATCATCTTCAAGGACTCGACAGGACTAAAAAGAAGAAAAAAATAACTAAAAAAAAAACTTTATTTAAAATTTTAGCATTTATATGCATGAACCTTTATAAAGGCTATACATGAATTTAAGCAGAGTATGTATGTATGTATGTATGTATGTATGTATGTATGTATGTATGTATGTATGTATGTATGTATGTATGAATGTATGTATGTATGTATGGATGCATGTATGAATGTATGTATGTATGTATGTATATATTTTGTACGTGGAAAATACTTATTATCAATCATTATCATCAGCAGTGAACTACTAATCTATAAATAATGTAGGCAGTTATAACTTATTTTATCCAATCCCTGCTCTAAAAAAACACAAATAAATTGTTTAATATCAATTAAAAACCAAAATTATTGGGATTTTACCTCTGTAAATAAAGTGCATTTTATAAGCATTGGAATGCATGGTATATATACAATATATGGTATGGATTGTCTTATGACTTAAAACCTTAAAATTCCTGATAAAAACAAAATAAACAAAACACACACAAATATACATATACATACATACATACATATATATATATATATATATATATATATATATATATATATATATATATATATATATATATATATATATATATATATATATATACATATATATATACATATATATATATATATATATATATATATATATATATATATATATATATATATATATATATATATATATATATATATATATATGTATATATATATATATATATATATATATATATAAATATATATATATATATATATATATATATATATATATATATATAGTATATATATATATGTATATATATATATATATATATATATATATATATATATATATATATATATATATATATATATATGTATATATATATATATATATATATATATATATATATATATATATATATATATGTCATAAGGGTTGAACCAATTAAATTTACTGATAAAATAGTCAAAAAATTTTCTATATTGACCATTCATTTATGAAACCAGAGTTGTTAACAAGGCCAAAAGTAGCAAGGCCGAGGCTAAGAGATTTAAGGTCAAAGCTAAGAATAAGAGTTTCAAGGCCAAGGCCTACGCAAACATTTTCAAGACCAAAGACTTAAATTTTTGCCTTACATTAAAGCTAATTATTAACAAAACTGTAAGTAATTATTGCGGTAACAATAAAACCACATATTATAAAAATACACCAAGGTTATGTGCAGACTTCAACTAAGTCAATAAAAAAATATACTTGTAGATATATATGAAAGCCAAAAACAAAAATACATAAAAATAAAGGATGAAAACTTTTAATTCTTTAATTTTATGTACTTTTTTTGAAAACCAAGGCCAAAATTATCAAGGCCAAGGCCAAAATTTTCAAGACCAAAACCAAGGCCAAGAGTTTCAAGGCCAAGACCTTAATTTAGGCCTAAGGCAAGACCGAGGCAAAGGACTAAAAACTCTGTATGAAACTACTCAAAACTTATCACATGACCTCGCTTTTTGCCAGATTATTGAATTGTCTTATCAAGTGAAAAAAGATTTTCTGACAATTTTTTAAAGTTGTGAATATATTGTGGCCCTGGATTGAGTTTCACCTACATTAGTCCACTACTTAATTTCAATTGGATCTTTCAACACCAATATTTTTTTATCTTTATACTTTCCCTATTTGATTTTTATATGTGTATGTATATATATGTATATATGTATATAAATATATGTGTATATGTGTGTATAAATCAATATATAGGCATATATTCACTTTAATTGGAAAAAGTCTAAAATTGCAGTTAGACTGTTTTATACATAAAAGTTATATTTTTGCAATCTTTTAAACTATAGATATTGAAGACATATTGAACACTTCGTTCTTTTTGTTATTAAACAAGCTTTCAGGATAAGAAGGGCATTACAAAGAATTAAATCTTATTAATTTAGCTTTTCCAAAAGAAACTTGGTTCAAAAGAAGCAACTATGTCAAATAAATTGTCTTCATTACCGCTAAAAAATAAAAATGCCTTTCTGTTTTCAGCTAGGATTTTTTAGCTAGGATAGATCTAGATATTTGAGTCATTCATATACCTTGATGTATTCATCTTGTGTAATTAAAAAACAAAAAACAAAATTTTTTCTAAGGTTATACTTTTTAACCAACTGTACTGATTATTAGTGGATTTTTAGAAAGATATAACTCTTTTCAGACATAGCAGAACAAAAAAGCTGCTATAATGGTTGCATTTCTACTGACAAATCCATTCATTTGTATCCATTCATTTGCATTCATTTAACTCTTTAAGTCTTGAGATCATTTAATTTTTATTAAAAATTTTATAAATTATTATTACATGTTTTAGCTGTTTAACTCTATTAAAGTTTTTGTTAATAATTTTTCTTGTTTTTCCTTTTTTATACTTTTCTTTCAAGGTAATGGCATACGTAAAACTTTAAAATCCACAATTTTTTCACAAAACTTTTCACATGTTTTTAAGTATAAAAATAATGCTAAAGCTAAATGTTAGTTCCTGATTTGATGTTGTATTTCAATATCGATAAATGGAAACAGTATTACTGAGTCTCCTGCATTATATCTTCTTGCATTATATTTCTCTCATAAAAACCATATACTCAATTTATTGCGAATTGCATCTTTTTTTTTTTTAGTTTTTTTTTATTTTACTTCACCTCCTCAAGGCCGAGAAGGCCACTACAGACGAGGAGGCTACTTATTTTGTGGCTATAACCCTCTCTCAACTCTATAACTCCGAAACACGAACCTTGACGAACAAGGCCACTGCGCGGAGAAACGAGTTGAGCGCCGTACTACCAGGGACGTGGTGGGTATCGAACTCGGAACCACTCGTTTATAAAGCGAGCGCTCTACCACTACACCACTTCCGCATTTTATTATTTTCTCACCATTTTCTTGTTCCTAAGACCATTCTCTACCTTATTAAATCTTTCCATTGTATCTAATACTGTAGTAATATTTGAGCTGCTACTTTTATATTTTCTGGCATATATGTATATGAATCATATGCCAGAAAGCTCATAACTTAAAATAGGGCAGACCTATTTTAATAGTAGTAATCAGCAAATGAAGAAAGCAGAAATTTTTTTAAAAAAGATCAAGTATTAGTAGTTATTGAAGCAAACCAGCGAAGCGAATAAAGTTAACATCGATAGTTAGTAGATAGTTAGCAGTAGAGTAGCATAGGAGTTAGGAAGTACATTTGTTTAATAAAAAATTAAATAGGGAGAGATTTTAACTGCGAGAGGAGACTATTCCATGTGCATATAATAATATTATTTATATATATATATATATATATATAATAAGTTTATTATGGCCATGAATAGATTCATGGCCATAATAAACAGTTTGAAGATAATTTGAAGCTTTTTGCTGATCGAAGTTGGTAATAAGTATGTCTTTTATTAAAAAAAATCAGTAAATGGAGGTAAGATTTTATGTTGCTGTTTCCAAACAAACAGTTGGGGTATTGAATAAGGTCTTTTAATTTAAGTATTTTTCTAAAAAGTTTACAACCTTCAAATTCCTTATTAATTAAAATATGAAACTATAAAAATCATATTGCGTTTTGCAATATAAACCTTATCAATACAAAGTCTATAGTATAACAATTTTTTGATGAAAAACTGTATACACTTTTTACCAATAGTTCATGTTAGCATTTCTGTTAATAACAAAAACATAGAAATCGGTAACTGTGGAATATATAAACTTCTTATGAAAAAAAAAAAAATTTATATAAAAAAACAAACATATTTTATATTCTTTTATATTCAAACTATAAAACCTAAACATTTATAACAAAATCTATTCACAAAGGTGCAAAAACGAATTACAAGTCAAGATTAAATTTAAACATTGAGTCAAAAATAATAGTTTTAAATAGCTAATAAATGTAATTAATGGTAAAAAAATAAATAATAATAATTAGTATTATAAAAAGTAATTTTAATACTTATGTGATACAAACACTATGTTTAAACATTAACTTTTATTATATCAATGATGTTATTCGTTGCATAAGATTTATCAAATTAGTCAAATAGTGATATCTATCAACATTATAATGGTAATGATCAATACTATCATGGTAATGATCAACATTATAATGGTAATCAATACCAACATTTTAAAACTTGAATACAAACTCATTGTGTTGTCTCAAATTCATTGCATTTATTTGCATATAATTCTACCCAAGGGGGTTTAGGTCCAGATAAAAAAGTAAATAAAAAGTTATGATTTTAAAAGGTTTTTGAAGTTTTCTATTATGTTTATACTAAAATATTTCATGAAGAAAATTTCAAAAGATAAAAAACAATGTTTTTTGTATATGTATTATTCAACAAAATTTTTATAACCTTAAAGCTTTATTTGTATTTTTAAAAAATGTACTTTTAAAAATACTTATAAAAATTATTTTCCTGTTAAGTAAATAATATGAATTATAAATAATTATTTACACCTTTTATATTAAAAAAGTTAACCTGTTCATATGAAACACCTCTGGACATTAATTTGATCATATCACGAGCCTTCAATATAATATATGGATCAAATGTCTTGCGAGTAGTGGCAACTGTCATACTTCCTTCAACAACATCCAATGCACATCTAATATGCTAAAAATATATTTTACGATCTTAAAAAAGTGTACATATATATACAAATATTTTTACATTATTAGCTTTGAATAAACTGTCATTGATGACAGCAAACCAAAAAATTCTATTGTGGGGGCTTCAGAGCATACATTGATTGAGAGTTTTGGTTTAAACAGGTTGCGGTTAGGTGTTTTTTTTTTTTAACGGCTTATTATATTCTGAATTAATGTCACATAAACAATATTAGATGTACCCAGCAATAATTTAGACAGTATCAGTCCAAATAACAATGTCCTTCAAAAAAAAGCTTGGAGGCTTCCTTGGCAAATACTTCTATCTCCCTCTTCCTCCTCTCTGATGAACTTATAAAGTTAAAGATAGTTATGAAGCATTATAAAAATATTTCACTTATAGATTCAGCAATTTATGTTTAACAAAATCTTTATTCATTTGGAAGATTTAAATTGTTTTTTGATATTGTTTATGAAGTATTTATTTACATTAAAAAAATTTATCTTTATCTAGATATGAAAGACTTTAAATATGACATAATTTTTTAAATTGTTTTTTAGTATTTTTTCCATTTTCTAAAAATCTCTGGAAAACCTGCATTTTAAAACTAGATGTGTTCAAAATATATTAGTACGGTGCTTACCTAAATCTGCAATAAATAAGTGTTTATACTATAACACATGTATAGGCATATGCTTTTTTAACCATGTCTATATATCAAAAAGATTCCAATTGCTAAAACAGTTTGTTTAACTAAGAAAAAGCAATGTTTTAAGTATTATATATGTTTATAGAAAGCTGGTATACAACACAGTGTTCTTATCAAACAGTGTTACAAACAGTATTCTTATCAAACTATCAAAATTGGTAGTTCTGTAAATACACTGCTAATATTGATTGAATGAGAAACAAAATTGATTGAGAAAAAAGCGGAAGCAGAAGTTGAGAATAAAATATTTGATGAAAAGTTTATGTTTTGATAACAAAGATTGTAAACAATGTAAAATTGTTGATTGTAAACAATATTTTGATTGGATCAATGTCAAAGTTTCATTAAAATGAAATTTGATCAAAAAGGATTAAGGAGCGTGATAAATGGTAATATAGAAAAGAAAACCAAAAAGGAAAAAAATTTAACAGAAAATCTAGAGAATCCATTTGGATTAAGGAGATTTTCTGGACAGAAAGTCTAAAGAATCTGGACTTTCTTCAAGAGAATCACTTTAAAAGCAAATAAAAAGGTCAAACATCTTAAAATTTTTTTAAATATCTGATGAAGTGATGAAGTGAAGATGGAGGCATGTAAAAATCCACAATTGAAAAGTTAATATAAATGAAGTGGTCGAACATCTTTTTTTTTTTAATTTAATACTCCTTAATAATCATTTTATCTCATAAAGATAAAATGATTACTAATTATCTCTTCAATAATTATTTTATCAAATATCTCTATAAAAACCAAAATTTTACTTTAAATAAAAAACAGTAAATTAAACCCTCTTTTAGTCAATTATTTCAGCCGAGTATTAATATGGCAGGAATATGGCCAGGAGATTAAATCAGAAAAAAGATTCGTTAAAAAAAATAAAAACATTTAAAACAAGTGAGACAAAAAAAGAAAGATCAATTCCAACCATCAGGAATTAGTGCTATGTTGCTTTCACTCTAAGGCAACCTCGGATAGCCTACTTTAGAAGGGGAAGAATTAGAGTTTTTTTTTAAACTAAGTGTCCAAGTGTATAACTGTGTGAAAAGTGTTTGAAAATTAGTAAAGATAACATCAATCCTCTATCATCAATAAGAAGTTATTTAAAAATAACTATTAAACTTTACTATTTAATTATTTTAAAATATAATTATTACATTTTAAAAACTAATACCCTTTTAATTCAGAAATAACTATATTCAATTCTACATTAGATTTTGTTTTTTTAAAGAAAACAAATTCTAATATAAACTCATTGACATATCTCGTTTCATAGTTTCATTCTGTTATAAATATTTCTTTTTAAGATTGGCATTCTGATTCATTTTCACTTAGTAAACAAAACATAAACCTTGAGCCTGCATTTGAAAGTTTTTTCAAATATTTTCTACAGCACAAATAAAATATGATTATAGAAATGTGTCTACAACAACCACATGTTCTTAAACCAGAAAAACACCCACATGCTCAAGATAAACATAGTGGTCTTCTTGGCCTCTCCAAGACCACGAGGACCACTATAGTTAAAGAGGGTATTTTAGTAGTGGTTACAACCTCTCAATTCTATAACTCCAAAATACGAACCGACAAACAATTTATTTTTATATTCTATAAGCATGCCCTAGAAGGTAAGTGACTTCATTAAATCACATTAAATATACACATATAATAATTTTATAACATAGCATAATATATCATATTTTATATAGGTGGTATCAAAAAAAGACTGTGCAAACAGAATAGCCTTATTTTTAAAGTTTGAAGAAAGTATTTATTGATAATATATAAAAGACTTCTAATAAAACAAAAAATACAAAATAACAGAAAAATAAAAATTTGATTTTTTTATTGCAATTTTCGGAGATGCCAAAATTTGTACTTTAAATAAAAAAATTAAAAAAAAAAATTAAAAAAAAAAAAAATTATACATGACTGCCTAATTTTTCTTTGACAAGTGGCCACACTTCACGCAAATATGTTTCTCTATACTTAGGAAACAATGTAGCAAATGATGACTCTTCAATGAGACCATGTGGATTATCTGCCTCTGTAAAAGGTTCAACTTTCCAATGATCAATACCTTCATGATCCCACGCTAAATTGTAAATATACTAAATATAAAATCTCATTGTAAAGATTGTACATTATTTTTATATAAAATAAGAGTAATAGAATATAAGAAAACGATTTGAATAAATAAAAATTTACAATAATTTTTTTATTTTCCTCCATTTATTTAACCATAAATAATGAAAATTTACAATTATAAATTATAAATTTACATAAATAAGGTTAGGTGTCACTCATATAGTTGAAAACTAGTCAATGGAGTGACACCTAAAAAAAAAGGGGAAAAGAAAGTTAAAAGTAATAATATTTATAAAAATAATAATAGTTATAATAATATGAATAAAAATAATATAAAAAATAATAACTGCAATATAAAAACGTAAAAAGAATTATAAATGATAAAGCAATAGTAAGATAATTATAGTATAGTTAACAATTATAAAATAAACAACTTAAAGAATAGTTATAACAATAATGATACTGCTACTACTGAACTACTTTGACTATCATTATAGGTAATAATATTAAGGCAACAAAAACAAAGATATATAAATAATAATAGTAATAACAATAATAAAAATAGTAGTAGTAACAATGTAAAGAATAATAATAACATTAAAAAAAAAATAAAAAAAATAAAAATAAGTGTAATTATTTAAATAATATATTGAAGAAATAACAATAAAAGATAGCATTAATATTCTTTAGATATTTGCTCACATAAAAATTTCTTAATTAGGTTTCTATTGAGAAGAAAAAAGTTAGTAACAAAAGGGTATTTAGTTAAAATCTTTTTTTTTATAAAAGGTATTAATTGGTTCCAGTGAGAAATACATTGATGTTTTATGGAGAGCTTGCCATACTTGACAGTATTGAAAAAAGAAGAGTGTAAATTACCATTTATAGTAATATGAGTATAGTATTTATGTGTATCACTTGCTTTAATGAAAAAATTGTTAAACAAACCCGGCAGATTATTTTGGAGGAAATCAAACACCAAAAAACAGTTGTAAAGCTTTATAAGATCTTGAAATTGTAAGATTTTTAATTCAGAAAACCTTTTTTGGATATTAGACTGAATAGGAGAAAATGTCATAATTCTTATGGAAGCACGTTGCAAACTGTTGATACGATTTAATAGAAAACTTCCTTGTTGCCCCCAAACAATGCAACAATAGCTTAGATGGGATGAGAACATGGAATAGTAAATTGATACTTGAGTATGTTTAGGAACAGAGTGTCGTATTAAAGATAACATACTATTGGCTCGAGAGAGTTTTTTATTTAATTGAATCATTTGATAATTCCAAGACAGGTTTTTGTCAAGAAATACTCCGAGATATTTTATAAATTCAGAAGGAAAGATTCTTTTACTGTTAATTTTAATTTTAACATTATTATTACTAATTATATTTTTAAAGGGTGAAAAATAATGAATTCAGTTTTGTTGATATTTAGAGAGAAAGGATTACTATTTAACCAAAGGTACAAATGATGAAGATCTGAAATAACTTTTTTACAAAGCTGAGTAAGTGATTTATTTATGCATAGAAGATTGGTATCATCAGCAAAATGGTGAACAGTGGAATTGCTTATAGAGTGAGACAAGTCGTTTATATATATTAAAAACAGCAAAGGTCCAAGAACAGAACCTTGGGGAACACCATATTTGATAAATTTTTTGGAGGATTCAAACCCGTTAATGGAGACAAACTGGCTACAATTTTCAATATATGATGAAAACCAGTTATTAGCGATACCCCGTATGCCATAGTAGTATAACTTTTTAAATAAAATCTTGTGGTGGACCGTGTCAAAAGCTTTTTGAAAATCAATAAAGATGCCACAAGCAAATGAACCACTACCGATTGCACTACATCATCACTACCGATTGCGCTACATCATGAACCACTACCAATTGCACTACATCAATCATTTCTGTAATGCTAATAAGAGCACGGGAAGTAGAGTGTTTTAAACAAAAACCAAACTGGTGGCTATATAAGCACTTAGAACTATCAAGAAAGTGGTAGATACGAGAATACATTAATTTTTTAAGAACTTTGCTGATATTAGATAATAATGATATTGGTCTGTAGTTATTACAGTCAAGTTTTGAGTCCTTTTTATGAATTGGTTTAACAGATGCTGTTTTGAAAATGTTAGGAAATATACCTGAAACGAATGAGAGGTTAAATAATTTAGAAAGTAATGGAGAAATATCCCAAGCAAGAAATTTAAGAATAAAGGTTGGAATGCTGTATGAACCAGAAGCCTTGCCATCATTTAGAGAAAGAATAATAGATAAAATTTCATTTTCATCAGTAGGTTTAATGAATATAGATTCAAGGTTTGGTGTTTTTAAATAGTTATAGAAGTTAGTATGGGATTAGTGAATATTTTTTTGCAATTCGTCAGGTATTGAAATAAAGAATGAGTTGAATTTTTCCGATATTTTGTTTGGATCATGTAAAATGGTGTTATTTGAAGATATACAAGATGGATATGAGATATCTTCCGAACGAATATTCAAATTCTTTCTAATGCCCTTCCACGTAGCCCTCAAATTATTGCTGTTAGAAGAAAAATAATTGGAAAAATGTTTTTTTTTGCTGCGTCAAATAAGTGTTACATGTAAATTTCTATAGGTTTTGTAAGTTTTTTCAAGACTTAGTTTAATAATTAGATTCTTTGTTTTGAGAAATTTTTTGAATATCATATTTGGTTTTTTTATTGAGGTCAAGATTGCTGGAGTAATCCATGGTTTAAGGATCCGAGTTAAGCCACGATTACTTAGTTTTTTTAGTGGTGCGTGTTTGTCTTAAAGAGAGTTAAAGCTACGGAAAAAGTCTTCATATAATTTGTTTGTATTACCATTAAAAAAATTAATTTCTTTATCCCAGTTTATCTGTAAGAAATTGTTTTTGAATTGATTACTATCAAGTTTCTTGAAATTTCGAAGGAAAATATTGCTTTTACGAAAATAATTTTTTTTTGCTTTTAAAAGATGGATAAATTAGAAACTGTGGCAAATGATCTGATATTTTAATAGTTAGATTGCCGGAGAAAATATCTTTAGAAATTGAGTTAGAAAATATATTATCAATTAAAGTTCTTGAGCGATTCGTAATTCTTGTCGGTAAGGATATAAAAGGAAGAAAGTTGTTAGAGGCAATGGCGTTTAAATACTCCGCAATGGAATTATCTTAGTTTGCTTTAATAAGATCTATATTAAAGTCACCCATTAAAAAGATAGTTTTGATCTTCTCAAGGGAAAGTCTTTCAAATAAAACAGCTAAATATGAAAAATTAAATTCATCAATATCAATATTAGGATGGGGATAGATACATCCTACTATGATATTAGACTTTTTAGGGAAGATAATTTCAACAAACACTGACTCTAGGAATTGGGGTTTATACATAAGTAAATTATTTCTAGGTTTATAAATTAGTTTTTCAGAAATATAAATTAAAGCTCCTCCAAATGATGTTTCGGTTAGAGTATGTTCATAAACATATCCATTAAGATTTATAGGAACAGTCAGTGGTAAATCATATTTCAGCTTGGATTCTGTTATTCCGATAACACTGAATTCATAACTAATTAGATAAAGAAGTGAACTTAATTCATCAAAATGTTTAACTAATGAAGCAATGTTTAAATGAAGAAGAGAAAAACAATTATTTGTGATTTTTGAAGAGTTAAAATTCTTAATATCTATATACACGGTGGCCACAAAATTTTAAAAGTTAAATTCCAGGACAATTCCAGGACATTTTGTAGCATTTTCCAGGACATTTTATATCCTATTAAATGAATATTATCAATTATCTTTTATTATAATTTTATTATAATATTATATGAATTATTTTTTCATATTGATTGAATTATAGAATAGAATATTATACTAATATTAGAGTTTAAAATAATTTGGCTGTATATATATATATATATATATATATATATATATATATATATATATATATATATATATATATATATATATATATATATATATATATATACATACATATGTATATATACATAATAATTAAACAGAATTTTTTAAATTGAAATCATACTCTTTAATGGAACTATATAAACAAAAATATTTCTAAAAAAGATAAAAAAAACTCAAACAATAGAATCTCTTTTTAAACATAAAGCTTTTTCTAAACTGTCAAGCTCTTGCAATTTTAAAAGTTTATCTTTTGATAACTTTATTAAATCATTTGAAGTAACTATAAAACTGAAATCTTTTTTTTCCTCTGCTTTTAATGCATATTTATCTGCTTCTTTTATTAAATTATCAGCTGATGCTTGAAGTAGTTTCTTTTTTCGAACAACATCATCGATTTCAACGGAAACAGCTTTTCTTTTTAAACATACAGTTGATATCTCTTTAACTTTTTTTGCACTTTCCAACACAACTTCATATCGCATTCTTGATGATTCAACAGATTTCAACATTTCTCTAGTAATTGGAATATCAGCAGCATTTTGTCCCTTTGATGACATGTGATCATTTACTATTTGTAAAGCAACTAGTGAATCTTCACTTAAATTTTTAACTAAATAATCCTTATTTACTTTGAATCCGCGTTCAATGGCAGCCTGGCCATGAGACAAACAAAATAAAATTATGCAGACATCCCAAAGAGATGTATATCCATTTACAGATACATACTGAGCAAGAAATATATCCAAGCTATCTTCATATTTTTTGAATGACAAAAAATCTGTATCATGTTTACGAACAACGTTTATTACAAATTGAAAATACTCTTCATTTGCTTTGTCACCAACTTTTGATTTTAAATATCCAGAAGCCACTAATTTTTGTAATAATTTAGAAAACTTTAATTTGTTACACTCTAGTTCTCCGCTATCTGCTAATTTAATTGGATCCAGACAAGATGAACACCTGACAATAAGATATTTTAAGGGAGATATTTTTAACATGTGAGTAGCAAGTGAAGATAAAAATATGCATACATCTTTGTAAAATTTTGAAATAGTGTTTCCGTTTGATGTTGATAATTTTTTGTATTTTTAAACTTCCATATTGGCAGACCAATATCAATTGTATCTTCTCTTTTGTATAACATTGGATCAGATAGATTCACCTTGATTATTTTCTTCATTGTATCAGATTTTTCAAGTACATCATTCAATAAAAACATGCTGAGAATGTTAACTAATATGCTTTTTAAAACATCAAATAAAAATGGGACCATTGGTTTATCACTTTGAAAACCTTTCAGAAATAGATTTAACTTTTCAGCTATAAATTCAAAAAATTTTAATTTAGTAATAAACAAAGGATCTTTTATTGTATCTTTTAAAATATTCAACCACTTTCCATGAGGTTGCTTTGATTTTGGTAAACTTTGTAAGTGTTTAATAAACTTTAAATATTCAGGAAAAATACTTGCTGCTTCTTCACAACAGTTTTGATTCTCACACCAACAATGGCCACAATAAGATAAAGGGTAAACCTTCATCTCAGATACATTTTCATAGATTTCTCTAAGTGAAGGACATTCATTGAGAAACTTCAACATTGCTTTCATTTTTTCACCAAGCTTCCAATCAGATTTATTGATTGATGTTTTTAGACCTCCAGGAATTCTGTGGAGGCCACACGTGCCAATATCTATTAAGGCTGGATACTCATTAAGTTTATGATTTTCTTTTACAAGTCCTAAAACTTTAAATTGACATTAGGGCCATCTGAAGTTATCTGATTCATTTTTTGTAAGTCAAGTTGAGATACACCTTGGTTAAAAGATTTTAATAATTGCTCTGAGTTTGCACCTCCTAAAAATTGTGAGTCAAAATATCTTGTAAAAACCTGATTTGAATCATGGTTCCAGAGTTGTACAATAACGCCCATTTGAACTTTTTGCATAATCAGATTTAATGACTCATCAAACAATATTACAAAAACTGGTGATAACAATATTTCTTTATATAACAAATCAAGAAAGTACGGTGCAATGCCAAACTTTGTAATATATCCACACTTTGTTCGACCTAGCTGAAACTTTTTTGCAATGTTACTATCAGAAAACATTGATATAAAAAGTGAGTTTAGTCCTTCACATAATCTTTGAAAAGATTTTGATAATGCCACATGTAATAAATAATTGCATAATGATGCAGGAGATAATAACTTATTATGTTTTTTACTTTTAAGATGACTTTTTAATGCATTTTCATCCATATTTCTAACATTAATGTCTTTTTTACAAAAAGAACATGATGCAACTGTCATACTTTTTTTAATAATCCAATTTTTATATTCAGATGCTTGCAACCATGTATTTGAAAAATGTGAATCTCAAAACATTCTGCAGTTTATACTTTTACTATTTACACTTTTTCTAAAATTAAATTTGCATATTTAGATAATAAACTCAAAGTATTTGAAAACTTTAGAAAAATTAAATATTATAAATTGATTTGCAAGACTTAAAACTCCACAATTTCAGATATAACAAAACAAAAATAAAATTCAAATTCAAATTAATTTAATATATTAAAAATAAAGAAAACCTTTTGATTAAATAATAAATCATAGATAATTATCTCATATTTAAAATTAAATTTAAACCATTTATATAAATTTTTTTTTCACATAAAAAATTTAATATTACTTCAATATTATTAATAATTTTTAAACTTGATTCAGAAAAAAAAAATTCCAGGACATTTCTGAAAAAAATGTAAATTTCCAGGACATTTCAAGGGACTACCAAGTCCCGAGACATGTTGTGTTCATATTAACGAGAATGTTAAAAAAAAAATGTCTGAGCAAATTTTTTTTTGATTAAAACTAATTAATAAATGTATACCAAGAAAAACAAATCTTGTTGTTTTAGTCGAAGCTCGTCTTCTCTTTCTGCGGTATTTTGAAAATGTAAAATAAACGCGATTTTCCAGGCGCATTATACAGACTTAATAATTTATTCAAGCGCGTTTAATTTATAGATGACGTCATAGATTTTTTTTTTGTTTGTTTAAAACACCGATTGTTATTTTTTACATACAATTTCCAAATCATATTCATTTTTATTATATTTTAAAGTTCTAAAATGTGTTCGTAAAAAATTAAAAACAAAATAATATTTTATTTGCGCAACTTTTTTTAAATAATCATCTAGACCACGTGTATTTTGATTTCTTTTGTTATAAGTTTTTCTTTCAAAATATTAGATAAAATAATTTTTAACCTAAATAATAATGCACTTTTATTAATTTACTTTGTAAATATTAAAAAAAAAAATTATTAACGCATTTTTTCTCTGATTTTCAAAAATGTATTTTTTGGTATTGAGGTGATCTTATTTCATTATTTATATTTCCATTATTATAACATCCAATATATATTATGGCTAGGGCTTAAAAATTAAAAAATTAATATATATTAATTTTATTTTACAGACATACATGGAAACATAATTAACTTGGATGTTCTTAAAACATCTTGCGGAAGAATAAAAAGAGTTCTAGAGTATTCTGTTGATATGATTTAGGAATTGTATTATTTACGATTTGTTGCATTTTGATATTTTTTTAAGAATATATTATCAAATGAACTACTACTTTAATATTATGGCTCATTCTCGGAGCCACATCTGTAAAGCCGTAAATCTTTTAAACTATTATCATTTGTTTACAAAAATAAATGTTTTATAATATATATTTTTTAAATTGTCAAAATTTTGAAAGTTAATTACAAATTATATATTTTATTAATACGTTTCATTAATTGTTTGTTAGATTTGTAAAAAACTAACGAACAATTAATAAAATAAATTTTTAATAAAATAAGTAACTATAGTTAGCTATTTTAGTAAAATTTAATAGTAAAATTTTTAAAGAATTTCTAGAATGTTTTCAATGGCGTCATGCACTAAAACTCCTATGAATTAAACGCGCTTGAATAAATTATTAAGTCTGCGCCTGGAAAATCGCGTTTATTTTACATACTTAAAATACCACAGAAAACAGAGACGAGCTTCGACTAAAACAACAAGATTTGTTTTTTTTGGTATACATTTATTAATTAGTTTTAATCAAAAAAAATTTGCTCAGACGTTTTTTTAACATTCTTTTTAATATGAACACAGCAAAAATCCAGGACATTCCAGGACTGTGGCCACCATGTATATATTTACAACTATTTGGATTGTCAACTACGTTCATATCATCATCGTCGTTATTATTTAGTTGATAAGAGAAAAAATTATTAAGTTGATTGAAAATATTAGATTCTAGAGAGGTAGGAAAGAGTGAAAGGTTATTTGGGATTTCATTGAGATGTAGTATACTATCAATTGACGATTGAAGGCAAAGCTCATTATCCGATATAGAACAAAAAGGAAAGATACTAATGTGGCATGTTATACAAAGCCAAAAATTGATGAAAGAGTTTATTGATGATCCAAAATCAATTTTATTCAGAGAATATTTATTATGAATGAATTTAAACAGTGTTTACATTGAAACAAAAGATAATTAGCACAAATATGATTATTATAAATTTTACAAAGTCGAGACATTATAGTAGAAATGAGTTTAAAAAGTAAGCTATAGATATAAATAAGATTATTAGTAACAATATTAGTAACAACAATAAAATAATAATAACAATAATAAATATTAGTAACAACAATAAAATAGCAGTAGAGAATATACTAAAATATAAAAATGACAATAATTAAGATAATAATATTGGCAATACGAATACTAATAAATACTAATAATAAAATAATGAATACAAGAATAATAATAATCATGACAATAATAACAATAGTGACAGTAATACAAATAGCGGCAGTAGCAATATGTAATAGAAATAAAAATATGAATACTGTAATTATAATCAACGCTCAATAATAAAAAGTATGATAATAAAACTAATAATAAAATAATTTATAATATGTGTAAGTAAAAAATATATAAGTAAAAAAAAGAAAAGGAAATGAATAAGCTAAAAAAGAAAAAAAAAGAAAAAAAAGTTTAAGTAAATACAATACAATTTCAAATATTAGCGCAAAAAATAGTGCTTTTTAAACTTCTTTCAAACTTTAAACTTCTATCTTTCAAACTTTAAACTTCTTTTAGACTTTCTTTCAGATGTGAATTTGTCCGATAGAAAAAAGTTCATTATTTTGAACCCTGCTTATATCAAATAATTAATTTTGTTAATAAATAAATGGAAAGCTTGTGTGAAAACTGGAAGACAATATATATCTTTTTGTAACATTACTCGTTATGTATATATCTTGTAACATTAACCTCACAAGTATATGCTTGTAACATGTATCAAACCAAATTTTGTATTTAATTATAACTTAAATGAATAAACAAATAGCTTGTGCAAAAACCAAAAACTCTTGTAAGAAGCTGTTAAGAAAATCAACCTGCATGCCTTGCTAAGTTTGTTTTAGGAGAGCTTTTCTCTGCTCTCGCACTCAATTACTCCCGCCTGCATTTTGAGTATAAAATAAATACAAAAAAATTATAAACAACCATAAAAAATTGTTAAAAGTTCTTACGCTTATCTTTTCTATATTTGTCTTTCTTTCTTGGCTGTATATCTAACAAAAAATAAATAAATAAATAAACACATATATAACTACTATCTGTCTGTGCATTAGAGAGTGCGTGTGATCTAAAAATAGCATCTTTGTCATCAAGTCAGCTTTAAGCCATTTAAGTCAAAATGATTTTATTCTCAAAGAGTTAGGTGAAAAAAAATGTCATTTCACATACAAAAAAAACATTATACGGGTCATTTTCCTTAAAGGTACAAAATGATTTTATTTTTTGACAACTTGACCACAATTGTTTAATAAACAATGTTTATATGTTTTGATAAGTTAAAAATTTCATAAATGTTCTGAATGTAGAAACGCTAAGCTAAAAAATTAAAAAAAAAACTAACGAAAAAAAAAAAAAAACTAACGAAAAAAGAAACGAAAAACAAATTCATAACGAAAAAAAAATCATACAAGCACTGAAATGAAAATTAAAATTAAACTCGAAGCGAAACTTTTTGTTATGTTTTTAATTACGTATAAAATAAACATTATTAAAACTTATCTTTTTAAGCGTTATTAAAGTTATGCAAAACTTTCTTAAATTAAGTAACAAATTACTACTAACGATTGATTTAATAAAAGAACAAATTTTATTAAATTTATTTAAAAATAGGCTTTTTAAAATAGTAATTTTTACTAATTTCATGCTCTAATTAGTGAGTCTATTTAAAAAAAAGGTTTTGAACTTTTTTATTTGTAAAAATAGAAAAATAAATAAATAAAATGCGCCTGTGATTTAAATAAAATAAACTGCCAACAAACTTTATTATTTAATTTTAATTTGAGCATTACAAATTTATTAATAAGCGCTTCGCGTAACGAATTTAAAAATTATTATAAAAGATTTAATCTCATTCATTTTTAACGAAACTGAAAAAAAAAAAAAAAATTTTTTTTTACAAAAAATAAAAAGTTTATATAAAAATTTTTGAAAAATCATAAGTTTAATCATAAAAATAATTCGTATGAACATTACAAAATGCTTTAAAACTTTTTCATTAAATCAACAAAATGCTTATATTAGTAAATAAAGTTATTTTATATTCTTGTATAATTCCAATAAAATGTGTAAAAGTTAGTCGTCACAAAAGCTTTTGAACTTATTCACAAATTAAAGTAACTTAAAAAAATTCTTTATAAAAATAATGGTTTAAGAATGTTTTAGGAAGACATAAGAAAACAGTTTCAAACGTTTAAATTTATCATAAAAAATAAATGCCAACATAAAAAAAACTTATTTATGTTTTTTATTAATTTACACAAGCGTTTATGTAAACAATAACTATAATTAATTTTATGGTTATATTTAAAGCCTTAGCTTAAAATAAAAAACTTTAGAAAAGATTTACGATTAAAAGATATTTATAACGTATATAACGTAATTATAACACTTTTTTTTATTGCATTCAAATTGTTAAAACATCAAAAAAGCCGTGGTCAAGTTGTAAAGAAATAAAAAAATATGCGCGTGGTCAGTTACAGAGTGTGATCGCACCCTATTCCTGTCCAAGCCTGAAGTCACGTCTGCGGAATGTCACAACCCAGACCTTTTGCCAATCCCAACTAGTTCAATGCTTGATAGTAGTAATTTACTTTTATTTTAATACATGATAAATAATCAAAAATAAATTAAAATTAAAGTTGGCATAATATTTTCCTCAAAGCCTATTATTAAAGTAACTTTTATGTGATTGAAGCTCATGTCACTAGCTCAACTATCACACCTGTACATAAAGCAAAGACATGACACTTGTGGAACAGTTGTGAAAACAATTGATCTTTTGACCTCTATGTGGATTTTTTAACACCTATTTATAGCCTATTTTTAGAATGATAAAAATACTATGTGGTGATGTGGTCTGCAAAAGATAATACTTCAAAAGGTGGTTAAAAATAAGACCAGTGGAATGAAATGCTCAAAGGAAGTAAAGAAAAGCTTGCTTTTTAGTGAAGTGTTAAAGACACAAATACAATCAATTTTTTTTACTGAGAGATGTATAAACAAAAAATAGGAATTTGCCAGAGTATTAAGCAGAAAAATCATAAAGAAGTATAAAGTATAATTGTAATTGCAATCAATGTATAGTTATTAACTTTTTTCCTTATAAAGTTTTAGGACCATAATATAATTTTAAACCATCCAGAGCAATTACAATTATACATTTATGCTGATATATTTGGATTTTTTTTCCCGATAGGCATAATTTTGCATTTTCATAATTAAATTGTGTGAGCCAGATAGATGACCATGCCATTATATTATTTATATTATTTTAAAAGCTTATTGAATCATTCGGATTTATAAAGACTTCAAAGAAGCCTTAACAATTTTACTTTAGATATATCTTACCACAAAATTTGAATCAGCACTCCAATGTATTGAATCAAGGAAAACTGAAGGTGGAAGTAGAAAACCTTTTGGTAAAAGATAGTTCTAGTAGGCTCACAGCTGAGTAAAAAGAAACAATAACAAAAAACAAACTGAAAAAACAGAAAAGAATATTGAATGATACAATGTTAAATTTGTACAAATAAACAACAAAAAGTTCAAATAAACAACCGAGATCAAGCCAAAATTAAGTTAAAGTCTTATAGCACATTTTGCAAATTAAGACTCTTTTGGATCGTTTAAAATTTGATTTTTGAGTTTTGCTATTGTGATTTTACAGAAAATAACAATTGCAAAACTTAAATGACTTTGTTGGGATCTGTGCACATTTAAAGCCTGTTATTAATCACTTGAAAGAAAGGGTGCCTATCATTAAAACAGCTTTTTTCCTTAGCAATAGTACTGTTCAAAAGTACTGAAACAAGTACATGTTCTATGTGATAGGTATTTTTTTTCAAAAAGGGTTTGGAGCTAAAATGATGAGATTTAATTTTACTACATTTGGTTAATTTAAGCCTTAGATGCAGATGAAAATGAGTTAGTCATAAAGTCTTTAAGAAGATCTAGCCAGGAATTTTTCACATTTCTGGAAAAAGATGACATCTTTGTCATCTAGCGTTTAGTGTGCCAGCCAAACCTCAACAACAGGGGACAATATAATTTTCCACAAGACTTGCCATTCAAAAAAATTTGCTAATTTACATACTAATAGTACTTCAAATTTTGTAAAACTAGTATCAGGTACTATTTTATGTCAGCTATTAAAAACTATTGATCACAGATGATTATTATTTTTGTAAATTAACTGAAAGACACTTAGAGCTGTTATAGCATAAAGCAATACTACTCTTATCGGTTAAGTTCAGGGTATGCCATTATAAGATAAATAAAACAGATAATAAAATGCTATTAATTAGAAAAACTTTATGTCAATAATAAAAACAAAAACTTATACAATCACTAGAACTTTATAGAAAATCAAATCTCCCATAGTAAGGGATAGATGATCCCCCTTTCATTCATAAGGCTGGGACCATGTCTTCCATACAAATTGGAGTCTTGATACAATTTCGACTCTTTATTTTTTGTGAGCTAATCACAAAATCTACAGACTATTTTAAATCACCTCTTTACCAAGAACAAACACTTCAAATTTCAAGAGTATTCAAATTTTTTTTTTAATAACTTAATTTTCTAAATGCAAATTATAGGTTAAAAACAAAAGGGGGAATCAAGTGTTCCCAGTTTCCCCTAAATATATACATCTAGTAATATATAGGTATTAACAGCAAACATATTATTTATAACAATAATATTAATAACAAAAATAATCATAACAATAACCAGGGGTGTGGAGTTATAAAAAAAAAGTAATGACTCCGAATCCAGTTGAAATTTTTTGAGTACAACTCTGACTTCGACTCCAATTGTTGAAATTTTTTAAGTACAACTCTGACTCCGACTACAACTCCAAAGCAAAACTTTTGAAAAATTCTTTGAATTCTTTTAAAAAAATTACACAATAAGAAAAAAAAATTTTTTTTTGACAAATTTATGAAACGCTCTTTGAGGTTTAGTATGAACATAAGGTTAATTGAATGTTTTGTACATGTACGTGTAATACCGAGAAATTTTACTATTGGAGTTGGAGTAGCAATTTTGTTTAGTGACTCTGACTCTGCTAAAAATGTTGCAACTCCGCAACTCCGACTCTGACTCCACAGCCCTGACAATAACAGAGTTGATTTTTCAAATGGTTTAAACTATGGTTTAAACTATTTGAAAAAATATTGATTTAAACCAAATTATTATTTTTAAAACAACTTTAAATTTATAGGAGGAAAGTATAAAAGGTTGTATTTACAAATAGAACTAGATCTTTCATGTAAATACTTAATGTGAATGCACATATCTAAAATCATAAAGATACTTCCGAACTAATTTTTTGTATACATTAATTTACAGTTGTTTATTTTGAAATTTTATATTTATAAAATCCATGTTATTATTATTATTTCTTTTTTTTATGAATTTTTTTAGCCTAAATAATAACAACAACAACAACAATAATAATAATAATAATAATAATAATAATAATAATAATAATAATAATAATAATAACAATAATATTTATAACAATGCATAAATTGTAATTTTTTATTAAATATTATATGAGTGATTGATATGAAAAACAACAATAATAAAATGTAACAAATGATTGTATCTACCTTTTTGATTTTCGTTTTCTGCCATATTCATAACAATGCATAAATTGTAATTTTTTATTAAATATTATAGGCTATAAAAAAATATATTGAAAATGCGATATATATATATATATATATATATATATATATATATATATATATATACACATATATATATAAACAACAAGCTTATTCCAATAAAATTTAAATTTTAATCAATTATATTTGCATCATTATTGTATTGGGTTTTTAAAGAGGCGAAACTTTAGAGAAATAAACAGAATTAATTTTAACTTTTATATATATAAAAAAATTGATTATAATAACCTTATTAAATTAAAATACAAAAAAATAATAGATTTTTTTTTTTCCTGTATTAATTTTATTTTTATATTAAAGCCTTAATTATTATTAGAGATAAATTTTAGAGATTTAAGATAAAACTTTTTACTTTTTCATTTTGGTTATGATTAAATGAAAGAAATTTAAACTTTAGGACACAATTTGATTTAACGGAAGCCGAATACTACCGTCAACGGGGGTGACTATAAACAACTAACATCAGTATCAGGGTTACTAAACGGAGAACTAACACACAATAAAGCTGAACATTTTACTAAACATTGTAACATTGGCTCGAAGTTGGAAATATTTGTAATGTACTGTATTTTGACAATAGAGTTGAGATATTGACTTAGTTTATGCATAACTTTTTAGGTAGCAGTGTTAGTATGACTTTTTACTTGATAAACGTGTAATATCCTTGTTCAGCGAACAACGGTATTATATATTATTGACACACTACTACAGAGGTGGTGAACATTGTTCACCACCTCTGCAGTAGTGCTCCATCTTGGTTTTGAAGAACTATAGCATTTTGTTGTTTTGTGAAAGCCGACTAAGAGGTCATCCATAAATTATGTAACATAATTTTCGACAGTTTTGACCCCTCTCCCCACCAGCTTCTCACAACTTTGTATGAGTCGTTTGGTTGAGAGTTTTTAATATTTATTTTATTATTTAAAAATGAAATAAATGCGTCTAAAACTTAAATTATTATCAAGTAGTTTGTTTTGTTTTTGAAGAAATTTGTTACTGATTTTTTTTAAGGTAGTACACCAGGAAGAAAAGGGACAAAAAAATTGATTTTTTTTTTTAATTTTATGATAGATTGACCCTTTTAGTTGACTTTTTCGAAAAAAAATTTTGACACTCTTGTTTAAATATATAGCTTAATTTTGACTTACTTGAGCCCCCCAATCATATAAATCTCCATAGCAATCTCATAGCAACAAGTTTAAAACTTTATTTGAAAGTGGTTATTAACAGCAATTTTGAGATGAAAAAATAAAATCATCAAAAAAGAATTGTTCTTGTTTTACCCGTTCTAAACTGCAGTTTAGAACGAGTAAAACAAGAACAATTCTTTCTTAATGATTTTATTAAAAAACGGGTAAAACTTGTGACATCTATCAATGCATGCATTGATAGATGTAGCAAATTTTATTAAACAGTTTTAACACTTCAATATGATGTATTATTTTTTAGTTCTTGTATTTTTGCATTATATTTTTTTTAGGGTTTTTTAAAACTCAAAACATGATAACTTAAGTAAAAATTATGCTAATAAGCTAAAAAATATTTTATTTATATTGATGCTCCGGTTGACCCATGGTTCTTTTTTGGATTTGGTTAGATAAAAAGTTATTGCTATAAATCTATATTAAAAGTCAAAAATTTTCAATTTTTTAACTAAAATCGTAATAAAAAGAGTAATTTTCAAAAAATTTAAAAACGTATGGATTAAATGATGTATAATAAGTTGTTTTATAACTGTATCGATTTTCAATCCATTATGTTTTCACTAGATCAACACATTATGTTTTGAAATACAGCCTTTGTTGTTCTTTTTTCCACCATTATTAAGTTTGTAAACTTATCTTTTTTAATAAAAATAGTTAGAACAATTTATTAAAACTAGTTTTAATCAAAAAGATACATTTTATATAATATTTCACAGGTTCATTTTTTCCCTGGTGTACCATCTTAAAAGTATCGAGGGGCACCAAGAAGACCTATCAGTCTTATCACAGAGCACCGCGAAGTTTATTAAAATTTAAAATATTATTTTGCTTCATGTGATTACTTAATTCATTATTTTTAAATTTAATTTTAGTACATATTTGAAAGTTATTTGAGTTAACGGCTATAAGAAATTTTGTAAAACTGCGGTATATTATGAAGGAGATAACTAAATAATAAGACTTTTCAGGAGAAAATCGTGGAATCAAAAATAACCTTTTGTGATTAAAAACTATACCAACTACTGCCCATAAGTACAAAAGAGTGTTTGGATTTTATCAATTGATGAGAAGTTCATTAAAAATGTTAAAACTGAGAAGTTCATTAAAAAAAGAACTTTTAAAAATAAAACAAACTATAAAAACTATAATCGTTTTTTTGTGACGACTGTAAAGCGCTCAAAAAAGTTTTACTATAGTAGCCAATTACTAAAATACAAAAACGATATACAAAAAACTTGGAACATTATAAAAGATGTTATAGGCAAAAAAGATATGAATATTAGTCGTTTACCAAAAAAACTAGTTGTAAACAACTCTGAAATTATTAACGACGCAATAATTGCTGATTCATTTAACCATGCATTTGTTAGTACAGGTCCCAGTTTAGCATCAATAATAAAAAAAAAGTAAAACTTGCTTCAAATCATACCTAAACTCTAATAATAATACAATGGCAATAATATGCTAACAGAAACAGAAATGCTTGATGCGGTGTATTTACTTAAAGCAAATAAAGGTAATAGAGTTGATGATGAAAACAGTAATGAAGTAATTAAATCAATGCTTTATTTAAAAATTCCGCTTTTGCATATATTTACGCCCTCTTTAAACCCAGGAATCTTTCCCAATAAACTTAAAGTTGCAAGGGTAGTACCTATACTAAAATTAGGAGATGAGACTAGTGCCTCTGATTACATACTATCATGCTTTTAAAAGTTATTAGAACACATTATGTATAAAAGATTGAATTACTTTTTAGATGTAAACAGTATTTTCTATAGTAAGCAATTTGGGTTTAAAAAGAGCCACTCTACTATTCAGGCTATTGGTCATTTTGTTCATGATATCTTTAAATCATTTGATGAAAATAAATATACATTAGGAGTATTGTATATTTATATTTTTGATACCATAGTTTTCTAATTTTGTTAATAAAATGTAATGATCGACTGTGTCAAAAACCTTACTGAGTTATCTCAGTAAGGTTTTTGACACTGTCGATCATTACATTTTATTAACAAAATTAGAAAACTATGGTATCAAAAGTATAAATATTGCGTGGTTTAAAAGCTATTTGTCAAATAGAAAACAATACATTTTTTATAATGAAGATAAAACGACCAATATGAACATAACATGCAAGATTCCTCAAGGATCTATATAAAGATCAATTCTATTTCTCATTTTTATTAATGATTTAAGCAAAGCTTGTACTGAACTAAATATAATTTTATTTGCAGATGACACAAATCTATTTTATGCACATAATGATATAAATATCTTGTTTAAGTCAGTAAACAAAGAGCTATTAAATCTTATTAAATGGTTTAATGCAAACAAATTATCTTTAAATGTAATCAAAACAAAATATACTTTTCTCCATTGTTTTCATGACCGAGATAAATTTCCTTTGGTACTTCCAAACCTTTGTATTGGAACTCTTTTTATGTCCAATCAGGACATAAAAAGAGAAATCACTTTAAAATTTCTTGGCGTTCTTCTTGATGAAAATGTGACGTGGAGAAATTACATGCAATATCTTGAAAATCTCAAGGAACATAGGCTATGCAGAGTTAAGTCTTTTTTAAACCCAACTTGCTTAAAGTTTTTATTTTTCTCGTTCATTGCCATCTTAATTATGCAAACATTGGTTGGTGCAGTTCAAATAAAAATAAAATAAAGAAACTATTCAATAAACAAAATGATGCAATCAGAATAATTTCCAATGTGGGTCGTTATACTTACTTCCGAGCATTATTTGTTAATTCAAATATAATGAATGTTTATCAATTAAATATATATCAAACTCTTATATTTATGTTCAATAAATAATAATATATCTCCTAAATTACTTTACCCATTATTCAAAATAAATCAGAATAGATATCTAACCAGATTTTCAAATAACAGTTATATTCAACTTAAAAGTTATTTTGCGGCGATTGATTTTTAAATTTCTACTAGAGGGCCAAAATTATGGAATAAAATATTAACTAATGAACTTAAAATAATTGCTACGCCTAATGAGTTTAAGAACAACTTGAAGCAAAAATTTCAAAGTATAAGCTGGTGTAAAAGGAAAGATTCAGGGTTATGCGTATTTGCTTCCCTCCTTTTTAATAATATATATTTTTTGTACTAATTCCTTTTTTTTTTTTTTTTTTTTACATTTTTCTTAACCAATATAAAAACAAAAAGTTAAAGTAGGACATTTGGACCGATGATATTTATTTTAGAAATAAGTCTTTAGAAAAACGTTTTATATTATATAGTGTTTCATTTTTTAATTTTTGTAGTTTTATATTTATGGTATAGACTAAACGGGGTTGGTGATTAGACCAATTATGTTTTCTTCTTGCCCCTGCTATTTGTACTTATATTATGATTTCCGACTCTAATAAATTTATATGGCAAAAACAAAAAAAACAAAAAAAACAAAAAATTCTGGTTTACTAACCCAAAAAGACGCTAAAAAAATGTTTTAGACCAAGATCTATAATAAAAAATAAACCCGAAGGCTTTCATATAAAAAAGGAATAAAAGTGCAAGGTTTCAGTTTTCATTTTTAATCTATTTTCAAATAAGCTCAGCAAGGAAGTTTCGTTTTATAGCAGCAAAAAAAAGTTTTATAGCTTAACAAACTGTTATTAACTTCTATAAGTTTATTCATTTAAAACAGTCAAGTCATTTTTTACTAGTAAAATCTCAAACTTATTGAGCTCTCTAGGATATAAATTATTCAAAAATGTGCACAATGTTTATGGCATACCTCATCTATAGCATTCATTGTTCTTAAAGAATA